TTTTAAGACAAAAAAATAACCATAAAACCTATATCTATATAGCTAGTCATGTCAAACTAGTATTTACTATTTGGTACACATGTACCAGTAACATTTACTGCATCACAGTCAGACTGTATTTTCAACTTTTATTTATTTTTAGAATATTATATTTTATATATTTTTTTTCCGGTAGGTGAAGAGTTTCAAAACGATGGCATAAACAATTATAATAATTGATATCGTACCTACCTATCGAATATTTTTATTTTTTATCATCGACAACACGACACACTTTGGGCTTTTGTTCAAAATTAATCAAACCTTTATTTAATACACTTAAATAAGTATATGTGTGTTTAAATATTAATAGATTAATTAATAATAAATGTACTTAAACCATAGTATTACCTGAAACAGTATAGCACTAAAATGGAGAAAATAGGAGATCAAATGAAAAGATGAACAACTATAGTTTTAAAAAATGACAGGATTTAAAAAAAAACATTTTACATTGTTATATTATTACCTATATACCTATTTGAAAAATATTAAAAGGGGGAAAAATAAATAGCAATTAAATAGTAAATTAATTATTTCTAGTAATTTGAAAAGTAAAGAATATATATTTTTTAATTTATAAAAATAAATGTAAAAATAACTATCTAATTTGTTTTAAATGCTAGCCTTATGTTTTAAGTTCTATCATTGGTAAATTTACATATTATTATGAATATTGTAAAAAATTTTTTAATGATTTATTAGTAATATAATACCTATAATAAGTATAATTAATAGGTAATAAGTAGCATTAATATAAGTTATATTATGTTCATCCATGTGACACATCACACATATAATACTAAAACATTCAAACAGGGATAAGAACTGGACTTTAATTTTTTTCCATTGATGGGGGGGCTCTCAGTTAAGGCTGAGCTTAACCTCCCTCTTATAGCCACATCTCTACACATCATTGCCTGTACAGAACTTCTTAGAAAAAGTTCGAATCCCCTTAACGACTCTAGCAATCGTTATTTATGATCACTTCTGTATACGAATTACAATCAGCATACGTAAAAAAGGAGATTTCATTGTTGTAATTTTTAAAATTAACATTACTATCAAATTTTCTAGATAGAGTAATTTAAGCTGATTTATTTAATCCACGACATTCACATACGTTATTGGTGACATTAACTTTAAGGGGTACAACAAGCTTAACATTTAGTATGTACTGTATACCAATACTCTTTCCTGATAAGTTATTTCATAATTATATTTGATTAATTATTTTATTATACAACTTTTACAGTATCATAAATCATAAAAATGTATTCACCTTAAACATACTCAAATTTTAGTATGCATATAATATAAAATTTGATGGTATGTAAAATAGGTAGTTATAATAATAGTTATAATACCTATATAAAGTATAAATAAAATGTATTCATTTTTTGTATATCATTATACACCCTCTCCGACGATGAACATTCGGACATTCCACAGCCATAAAAATATAATGTACCTAATATGGTACATAATGGTAAAATGTGGTTACTTGGTTAATATTTTATGTTCTCTACCTCTCGCCATTACAACTGTGATCGAGTGAAAGATATCGCCGGAGGTAATGGAAACACTCCAATGGCTAGACTTTTACGTTCGGTACGCTGGTGATACTGAGTGAACAACACATTCATATTGCATTTTTATATAGAAAGGATAAAACATTTATTAATAATAACAAATACCTAAAACCAACATACTAGTTTGTTACTTACTATTTTAACTATTGTTTCATCATAATAAATTATAAATGAATATCTATTTTAGTATCTACCTAGTACTTATAACAATAACATACCTAATTAATATTGAGTACCTTTCTAAAATAGTTAAGGCACTTGCTTAAATTTAATAATACTCAATATAGATAACTAGAAGACGATTAGGAGAAAAATAGTCAATGTATTTAGGCTTTAGTGTTAAATAATGTGATAGAATAATTTAAATCGGGTTTCTCCATTAGTATTTTCGAGTTTGAAAATGACCTCTCACTGGTCGCTGTAGACTGTAGTCACAGGCAAGTTATTTTTTTCTAGCATTTGGAGTAATTTTAAGATATAGGAAGAAAAAATTATAAGGACTTATGAGTTATAATGCTTTTTTTATTCATGGAACACTCTAAAATACATAATATAGGTATATAATACTATATGTATAATCGTTTTATTCAAAACGATAAAAATTAATAACAAGGAATTCAATTTAAACAATAATTGATATAAACATCATAAATTGAAATAGGTATATTTCTGAACTTATAAAACACCATACACTGATTAACTTTAATACAATTTTTTTTTTATTTTAAGCGAAAACTCCGCGGCAACATAGGCAATATAGCCTTTGGGTGTGGAATGGTACGGTAAGGGGTTTTGTATATTTTTAGTAGGTTAGTATGTTGGTAGGGTTGAAACACGTGTTTGTGTATGTGTGGCAAGGATATGTTCGGTAGGTCACTGGTGGTCACCCATCCGGTAGCTATAGCAACGACGGCCGGTAAGTACACTCAGAGCGTTTCTACAGATTGAGTGTACGACCGTTCCTCACCAAGCCACTTTAATATAATATATTGTATGTATGAATTTAATTTCTTAATCTGAAGTTTAGTTAGAAGTTTAATTTGAGTTAGTTTTTTCACTCGAATCATAACTTTGCTATTATGATCAAATATAGAGGTTGGATGGTATAACTATAAGTATAAGTGATTGTGTATGGTGTAACTGGGACAAAACTAACTCAAATAATAAATGTCAATTAAGTATTCGATGGAATTTAAAATATGTCTACGTTGTTTGTATTTATAAGAGTTTTAAAAAATCAGTAATTGACTGTTCTTCATTATTAATTGTATTATTTTTTTTTTGTGAGGAGTTGTTCAATAAAAAATGTTTAGTTTCATCATTACGCGAGTCTTAAGAGGACACTACCCATCACCTATTCGTGAGTTTTTAATAGTCTTCGCATCACAAACTTATGGCATAGAAAATTGCTGTTTCTTCAGAATCGATTATGTGTTGTTGGTCTTAATAAAACTGAGAATTAAAATATTACTAAAGTTGAAGGTATAAACATTATCTGTGCGTAAGAGTCATTTGTTTGATATTTTAATTTTTAAGCTTCATAATATGAGAATTTATATATTGTAATATTTACATACCTACACATATATCTTTTAAACATTAAAATATCGAAAATAACTGATGCTTATTATAAGCATAAATAATGTTCTCATCTTTAAACTTAATAATATAAGTTGATTCACTCTAATATTATAACCAAAAACACACAATCGATTCTGATTAACAAAAATATGCTATACCATACTCTTTTAAAACAGACCGTATGTACTATGTAGTGCATGGGTAGAGTTCTCTAGTAATATATTATAATAAATGGTATCATATACATGTTGTTGTGATACCAGCTATACATTACACATAATAATATGTATTTTAGTATATTTATAATGTGATTATTAACATATAGACGTAGGAACACCTTAATAATATCATGTATATTACTAATATAAACCGCACATAAATTTAATAAATATATAGGTACAACTATTTGGGGTACACGCACATCAAACCCACCCGTTCGCCCGCACACAAACACGCTGCCACCGCTGCCGTTGGCCGGTCGATTCCGCCTTTAATAATAATTTATTAATCCAGTTTTGTTGGTCGCTATTATTGTAATTTTAACGCCGCGTGCTACATCGTAATCAGTAGTAATAACAATATAGTATGGTTATTATTCCTTATAACCATATTATAGGCGTGTCCAGAAACCAGACAACTTTCCGGTGTATTTTTCAAATTCTAGACTCACATTATCTAGTTTAAAACGATTATACGTGTAGGTATTTTATTTTAAAATTTTAACATAACTGCGAATGTTTTAAAATTTTAAATAATTATCACAGTTTAGTCCATTAAGCAGAAATGAAAAAATTTATCTTGGGAGTGGTGATAAGGGATGCTGAGTATTCCACAGGTCTAGTGCTTTATTTTTAGGAGTACAGAAATATTCCAAATTTTGGTGCCTCATTTACCAGTTGTTTAGGTTGGGTTGCTATATATAGGTACCAAGCTACACTTTTTAACCTCTCCATGCCACCCATAAACACGAGTGGAGAAATATATTCAAGAAATTAAAATATTTTTAAGATTTTATATAGCGCCTATACAGCGTTCTTTTATTTTGTGTGAGAATATTATCAAAAGTTGATCAAAATAAAACGTAAAATAAATAAATAATCCCAGGGTAAAATATAAACGATAATGGTTTACGTTTTGGTTATTGTTCCGGTACCAATTTTATTATTTTGGTTTTTAAGCGTAATGTAAATTATAAATTCACTAAAGTACTTACATGTTTTATATGTTTTTTACGTTTTATATTATGCAAGACTTTAGTGTGAAGAGATGTTGAAGAAATAATGTTATGTTTGTAAAATGTATGGTCAGATTGTTTTTTTAATATTCACATTTTTTTTTTGGGGGGGGGGGGGGTATGTAGGGGTGGCAATCTAACATTACCTGGAGTGTTAAAATTCTAAATATATCTTTGGGTATAGGTAACAAATAATAATGTATTAAAAATCATAATATTATTTTAAACGCAAATAATACAATGAAAGTATGAATAACGTTACTGTAAGCTATCTTATTATAAATAATATAAATTATAATATGTTTCACTTAAAAAACTAACCAAATTGGTACGATTATATTATGGTCAATCTTCATTAGAAGTTAGAACCTATTTCATTTATGTAATTTTGTATTGGTTTTTTGAAAAATTATTTTAATTGTGCTCCCTATGGTATTTCTTTATCTTCATACATTTAATTATGCGTTTTATAGAGGGAGGCGTGTGCTCCTTGCCACCCCCCCCCCCAGGTTACATAACATGTCTCATTGTTACGTAAAGGACATAATATTATAAGACTACAAACATTTTGAATTCTCGAGAGTATAAAACACAAGGCCTTGGTGATATTACAATACTAAGACGTATCTGGTAATGTTAGGGTATGTCTGCGTTGCCAAAATATATATACGTCATGTATATATTAATATATTATTATATCGTATACCCGTTAAAAAATCAGAGCACATTCGGGCAAGCGCGATCGATGACTCGGTGTGCTGCGGTGGGTGATGGTCACAAGATATCATACGATATAAGGTCGTTTTGGCGGGGTTGGAAACGTGATCGATTCCCTCGAGTGTGTCATTATTCAATTTTTTATGAAATATTCGCATATTGTTTGAGTGTGTGTTTGTGTATAATAATATCGTCGTCGTTACTATAACGCCACAATCGTCACAACTTACGCGCAAGTGAAGTGACTATGAGTGAGTGTGTAGTTGCGGTTGTGCGCGAGTGGCAATGACTCGGCCGTGTCGACGGGCGGTGGAGGTGATGGTGTGGGCGAAGTCGTCCTCGGCCATCCGCAGTTAGGGCGCTATCGCCGCCGCCTCCGCGAAAAATCAGCAAAAGTATAATGTAAGCGCTCGCATAAAATCATCGGCACGTGTACACCTACCTCCGACACGGTCGGTCGGACGATAATGATATTTAATATTATAATAATACAGTTGTGCGTGGGCGGAGGCGGCGGCGTCGGAGGCGAAACGAAAACCGTTCGTGCCGAGGCATGATATTTATGATATACACGATCGATGGAGGTGAGTTCAGTCGAATGGACAACAATATAATAATATATGATATATGAGATTTGTCGTGCGACCGATATTTGCATCTGCACCGCTGTTTTGCGTACTTATAATACGAATAGAGCGTAGGCAGGTTACATATTATTATAATGTCATACCGATTGGCAATATATTATTGCAATGTACCAATAAAATAACGTTATTTAAAGTGTTATAACGTCATGAGATCGGGAAAACGGTTTTGTCGCATATCTTAATCGTCAATATACATTCGTAATTATATTTAATATTTCCATATTGGTATATTATTTGAATGTACATATAGATATACAGGTAGTTTTGAAATAACCTATTAATTCAGTCAGTTATATTATTATCGACTCTGTCACACATTATGAAAGGCTAGTGGGTTATTATTGCTTAACAACCAATCGATTCTGTACACTGTCGTATGACTACAATTATTTTTCCGTCAATACTCTGTCACCTATGTTTCATAATAATATCTATATTATTACCTTAAAAATATAAATCACAAAGTACACTAGTGTAGCTGATGACTTCATTTTATTTTTATACCTAACAAAAGCAATACACAAAAATGTTGTATTTCATATACCTAGAGGCGAGGCTGGGCATTAAGAGTTAAAAAGTTTCTTTAATTTCTATATTTGTATTAAAAATAATTGTTTTTAATTAACGTGGTATCAACGAATTAAAATGTTCACTTTAAGAAGTTAAGTCAATTTATATTGTTTAAAATTGTATTACTTAATACTTTTATTACTTAATAAAAAGTTAAAACAATTGTGTATTAACGAAGTTACTTTTAACTTTTTCTAAATAATGCATCATATTCAACTTGATTGAGTTAAAAAAGTCATACATTTCTCCAACTTTGCCTGTACAGATACTCTTCTATCTAACGGATTCTGATTGTTTCTTATTTTAACGGTTTCTATCAAATTATTGTTAATATCCTTTATTTGCCTCATCGTTGCTATTTTTACCAAACATAAAATTGTCATCAATATACCTATCCACCTAACTTTTTATATGGTTTCTTATTGTTTCAAATTAATTTTTACCATACCAATAGTTATTCTGAGAATTTCCCTATTAATATTACGATATTTATGACGTAAAATTAAAAAAAAAATTTTAAATAATTAAAGCCTTTTGGCAAGTAAAGAAAATATGATAACATAAAAATGGTATTACATAATTAAGAGTTATGGTAACCTTCTTATACGATGAAATGAGTTAAATACTCTTCCGAAACTGCCTCATATGAAATGTATTAATGTATTATTATAATTTATATTGATTGGCAGTTGCGTGTATCTAAGTTTAGAATTGTTTATAAAACAATGGCTTAATGGACGGATTTTCTTGATTACTTACGTCGTTTTAAAAAAAGTCTAGAAAAATTGACGAAAGAAATAATTTGTCGATTTCAATATTGTTGTAAACCGTAACAACCCAATCAGAAATCACTTTTTGTTGGTGGGGCCTTTATAGTTTATAAATATTTTATGTGCCCCGTCGACCTTATATTATAGAAGCACCGTAAACAGCTATATACAGTATAAGTGCTATATTATACGTTTCCTTATTTATTTTTTGAATTAATGCCAAACGGATTTTGAGAACAAAATATTAACAATTAAAACTAGGTAAACATATATTATGATAATTTATTTTTTAAATAAAAACGTATGCACAATTAAAATAATTTAATAAATAATAATATAAATACATTTTAAATCATAACATGAAATATAACAGTTTACCACGATACGAAAAGTTTTAGATTATTATTGACTATTGACATCATCCTTACTAAAAGAGCATTTTTTGCAAACTAATTTTACAGTATTTACAACATTTATGGTACCCTATATTATAGTACGAGTATATAGTATCTATAGTATATTATATAGCTATAGTTGATAGTTTATTACATTGCAATTATTATAGTTTAATTAAAATATATTACAGTCATCCGATCAAACTAACCGTGGCGGTATTGATATGGTATTTGCACGCCCTTTTGTATTATTATCGTATTGTTTTCTTCGATGCAGAGCCGTCGACAATAATAATAATAATAATAATAATAATAACAATAATAATAAATGACGTACTACGACAACGATGCGTGACGTTCAGTTAAAATCGCGCGAGCGTTTACACACCGGAATCTTGTTTCTATATATTATAAGGGCACTCGACAAATAACTCGTGCACGGAAATATCGTCAAAACTCACTGATGAGTCTCGTTGTGTCAGTTCAAATAACAATAACTGTTATATAATATTAAAATTATTATTATTATTGTACAGTTGAAGGTACGGCAAACTGATGAATAAAACAATTTATACTTCTAAACAAATTTTCCAGTGAATAACATTATTTGAAAAATCAATTGTTTGCCAATTAGAATATTTCGTTTTTTGATATTTTTTTAAATTAAGTCTCGTGAAGAAAATGACAAAACGTTATAGTAATAATATTAAAAGCAATAATGTACTGATACATTGCTTATAGCTTATGACGTAATTAACATGTTTTATTATTGTCTTATGTTGACTTGTTAATCATCGAACTACTCCAAATTAAACCTATATTATAAAGAATGCAAATAGGTAGGTAGGTAATGTATAGGACTAGGAAATTTTAAGAGTTGCATATTTTCTATAATGTGCTTTTGATTTATATAGCAGTCCAACCAAAAAACCAATTCTATGTTATGATGAGATAAAAAGCTAAAATTGCATAATTTCACATAATATTTCGTTTAATTTTAGAAAAACGGGAAATTTTATTTTATTTTATTTCTTAATTTTTGAGTAATTAAAAAAAAAATATTTATTACCTTAAGCATTTCATACTCAATAATTTAACATAGGTATGTACCTATTTTCTTTTGATAGAGATTTGTGAAGAGTTTCAAATTTGTCCAGTAGTTAGGCAGTCAACCTATTTATGATAAAACTTTTATAAGTTATATAAGTTATAATTTTATCCTTTGCATATTTTAGTTTCTGTATATTCAATGCTATCGGTTATAAGTCCTAGTAACATGTATTGCAAAAATTATTAATACCTTTTAATGATAGTATTATTTTAATGAAACCAGTAACAAAATAAAATAACGCTTAAAAGAAAATTATGCATCAATTAATTATATTGATTTATTAGATTATTTTTATTTTTTGTAACTATGGTATTTTTCTTTCTAAAAGTTTGGCATGTTAATTTTAGTGGGTTGTTCCGTGGCTTCTTTTTTCCGAACTCGTTCTTACTTTTTATGAATATATTATGTACCATAATAGTGGGACAAAAATTATTAAAATATTCCATTCCGTCGGAAACGGCCGCCAACGTAGAGTACGTGCCTGTATATACCTACATATAACTCCCTATAAATTACAATAATACAACGTTGGTGGTAAATGGTAAAAAGAGTTGCATGATATTTATTTCATTCACCGCGATAATAATAGTCATCACGAAAGCTGTATTAATTACTTAACTAATTAACCTTATAATATGACTGAAAACCACCACCATATAAACTCGACGCATCTCTGTTTGAATAATAATTATTGTTTCTTGAATATAAATCGTTGTAGCAAGGTAAATAATTATAGTAATACAATTCAATATTTAACTGAACATAATTTAGTAGGAGGAGAGAGACTGCTCTGGTGTCTATTCCGATGTGGTCAGACTTATCGACCGACCAGTCCAAATTATCTGTAAATCCGATAGCCCTATAGAATCTATGGTTATTAATTGTAGTTATCACTATTCAATTTCAATTAATATTTATTATTTGAAAACTATCAATAATTATTTTAATTACAATTCGTACATCATAATATAATATATTTCCTGAATGCTGCGGTTGTTGAAGGTTAGGATTAATTACAATATAGGTATGTGTTGCAATTGGATTGATTACAATTATTCATACATGCTATAATTATAGTTAATGAGAAAAAATTTTTAATTTGTTTTATGGGGAAATCGTAATGAGTTAAGTGAACATTTTTTCTTAATTTAACAAAAAAACAAATTAACAAACCGACGGCCCCGGGAATCATACTTTTTGACAACATGTTTATTGTTAAATATTACTATGGTAGCATATAGGATTTATAATAAAATAATGTGTGTTATAGGTGCTAATGTATATTTTTATTTTTTTTTTTTTTTTTGAGATTAATTTTAAGTCATAATTACTGAGTGGTTGGTAGCCGGCGTTACGTTATTTGTATTAATAATAGGTTGAATTTACATTACATTAAATTTCTATTATATATTTATACAATCATAGACGGTATAGTATTAAATTAGAAGGTGAAGTTCAGCTTCTTTGATAAAATTCATTAGTTTTCTGGATGTCTCAGGAGTGGGTGCAAGTACCACACGTGGGGTATTCATTTATATATATTTATTATTTTTAAACCAACTGTTAAATTATTATATTATGTTATTTCAAAATAATAATGAACAGTTTCATTTTTTCTTTGGTTCATATTAAATACGAAAAAAAAATAAAAAGGAAATTATTGAATTAGTTCAGAAGTATGCAATGTGCATGTTTGTTTATTTTTAAACTACTGTTTAAAATAAAGTTTTGGGATCGGCTAAAAGTATCATAATATGTTTCTTTAAATTACATTATCTTCGCATAGTGTCATCGCTCATCACAGTATTCATCTATCATAAATCACAATAACTGCATTATCTGTGTTACTTTATTTTATAATACATTATCTAGGTAAATAACATAAAATCAATCGAATAATATAATAAGAGTATTGTACAGTAGATGATTGATCAGTAGATCTTCATAAAAATTCTGTCGTTTAACCGCGGTTTGAGGTCAAAAATTGTATTGTTTTATCGATACAAGTGCAGTGAGCATATATAAATAAATATACATATAAATTTCACAAAATAAGTTTTAGCGTAGACAGTGTAAACTTCTCAAGGTTTCAGTATTCAGTGGTTATAATGAACAGTGTTTTAGTATTTGGGCATTTATTGAACTTTTTATTAGAACCGAGTTTGAGTTAGGGACTTTTTTATTTTGTGGTAGCAAAAATTTGTATTTAATCTTATGGTCCATGTGTTATGATTTATGCAGAGTACAAACCTCGGCGAAGACTGCATCTCTGACAATCCAAACGGCTTTCGTTGTACAAGCACCTGTGTAAAACGGTGGCGAGGACGACGAAAGGCACGACCACTGTAGACAAAGTAGATCACCGTGATCATGGCGTCGTCGCCTTTGCGGGCTCCGGCGGCGGCTGGTCAACAGCAATCGAGATTGATGGACATGCAAGTGAGTGACGGGCTGATTGTCTACCTATATTATGATTTATTGTAAATTTGCTTCAGAATAACTCACATATCACGGTCTTAGAAGAGAAATCGTGACTCCTGTAAATATATAAATTAGACTATTCCTCTTTTTATGTGATTCGGTCGTTAAGAATGAACATTTTACATTTAAGTGGTCATGTATACTACCAATTTTTTAGTTTAAAAACACACAAAAACCTAATTGTAAAATAGGCTTTAGAGAGAAATACATATAAGGGACATTATTTAAAGTTACCACAATAATTGATGAAGTACCTACCGTTTTAAACAATAATGTAAAAAAACGCAGCAGATATTATGAGCAAAATTGTTTTTCCGCCTTAAATTATATAATAAATGATCGATCCACTAAATATATTCAAAAACGAATATTTTTTTGTCATCTATCCAAAATATTATCCACTTTTGATTACAACTGTAATCATTTGATGTGTGTTTTTTTATATTTATTTATTTATTTATTTTGTGTCTGTCATCACGGTTTCTTATAGTAAAATTGCTTCGATTTTCTTCGACAGCAACTTCTCTGGTAGGAAAGGAAATCTAGTTGGTGCATTCGAGAAATCAAAATTTTAAATTTTCAACAGTTTTAAAAAGCAATAGGAAAAACAAACAAACAATTAAGGAAAAACGGAATTTTTAGGCAAAACCATTTTTCGAACAAATCGATTGGTTTATAATGTAACTCTAACAAAAATGATCGTAGATACATGACATTTTCACTGAAAATTTGAATAAGCATTTTCTATACACCATAAATTTTCAAAATATTTAGATTTGTGTTCAAATTTTCGGTTATTAGTTGTTTTTAATGAACTCAAGTCGATAAAAAATTTTTCGCTTGGTCAAAAAACTTGAAAATATAATACAAGGTGCCTTGAAAATTGTTGTTAATGGAAATTAAAAAAAGTTGACCTTAAATCCACAGTAATTTTTTATGAGCGTTTAAACACTTAGAATTTTGACAAAATTCGTAAAAATCACGAAAACTAGCAAATTATATTCAGTTTATAAAAAATTTTCTATTTATATCTAAGATTTAAAAATTTAATTTAAGATTCTTTACAAGTTTTTCTGCATTTATTAAAAAAAAATTTCTACCAGGAAGTCAAATTAGACTTTTATGAGTGTTTGAAGTTGAAATTTCTACAACATTCACTCGATTTCTCTTGTAGCGATTTTCTTATTTTGTTGTAATTCAATAACAAATTATTGTAGACACCTGTAATTTACAACAAATTTTTATTTTATCGATTCATATACTTGATAAAATTTTCAAAATATTTTGACTCGTTTTAAGCTGTTGACGGACATTTTCAATTTTCATTTTTTTAAATGTTTTTTCTAGAACTATCTATGCAATTTTATTGGTTTTGTCAAAAAGCATGAAAATTGAATACAAGACTCTTGATAACTTATTTCAATACCAGTTGAAATTATATTAAAAATATATAGGCACTAATTTTTTTTTTAAGCATTTAAAGTTCAAATGTTGGCAATATGTATCAAATTGAAAATTGAAAATGATTTTGCAGTTGAAAATGTATACAATTTTCAATTTTTATATCTAAGGATTGAAAATATAATACAAGGTGTGTTATTAAGCAGTTTTTTCCACAACTAAGAAATCTTAAAAATATATGAATACAGTTATTTTTTACAGATATTTTAAGTTCAAATTGTGTTGTAATTCGGTTCCAAAACAGTTCAATATTACATAATTATACTTAATATTTTTCCAGCATCACTGGTAATTTAAGAATAATATTAATTTAACTTTTCGGCCACCATATTAATAACAAGTAATAACAATATAAAATATCCTTAACTGACATACCGTCTCCGTTCAGAATCGTTTTTCGTTTACAATTATTTGATGTTATTGAATTCAAATTTAATACCATCCATGACTGCGACCTCCTAGACATCTAATGTACAGCATATCAACATCCACTTTTTTAAACTTTTATTTACAAAATGTCTTTTGCTCGTTAGCAAAACATTCTAGAAACGTTGCAGAATAGTTTATTTACTATCTCATACGTATAATATATATAACGTTACTGCATTGGTGGCACTGTTGTATATTACAGTCAGTGTTGAGTTCAGATAACAAAAATAACATCTACATAAATATTAGATTACTATCTAGATTAATGTGAAGATAGATTATTCAATTTTAGCCTATAACTAATAAACTGCTCCTCTCACCTCCCCCTTTTAAGACCTTTGAACCTGCCGTGAGAGCAGAAACAACAGAGTTTTAAAATAAGTAATAAACTTGTTCCTTCTCTGTAAGTATAAAATATATAATTATAGATTGGCAGATACTAAAAAATATAATACATAGGTGCTTAAAATATTTTTAATTTATATTTTAGTTATCAAATTAAGATTTTTTTTCTTGTTATGCTGTCAGCGTTTGTTAAATATATACTAAATATCTAATATTGTCTATTACAATAGTAAATTTAAATATCATAATACCTACGTACAAAGTTAGGTAGTAATACTAGCATATCGATATTTTAATGAGACCTACTGAATGTGTGATTGATCAACGGTCAGTCACATATATAAAAGTATTTATGTAGTAGATACAGAATAAATAATTACTGAAAATTCCTCTGTATTTATAAACGGGTGTCTATATTATGACCGAGCCAATCTACCTTCTAGGACCGTGTATTGCAGAGTGTTATAATGATATATTTTACTACAATCATATTATATGACTTTGTGCAGAAAAAGTTCCAGCAGAGGCATTTAGCCACCGTGGCGGCTGTCAAAAGCACCGTCGGTGGGTCTACGACGTCGTCAACCACCTCATCGACCAAGACCACCGGAAGCGGTGATCTTCCGGTGCCACCAGTTCGGCGGATTGTCGGCGCCATCGCCCCTGTGCAACCGCAGCCGCAGCAGCGCAGGCCAGTTGGATCCGGAAGTGGCGGAGATTCTGTCTTACAGGTTGACGTAAAGGGAAAGGTATGCTATAAGAGTAATATTTTGTTTTTTCGCTTATATTCTATCAAAAGAAAAGTAATAAATTATGTTTCTACTACGCGTGTTGAAGGTAAACGATAAAATGTGACTAGCTCACAGTCTATATACTACAGGTGGGGTTTTTATTTGTTTGGTAAAAATCTAGTTGTCCCGTTGTCTAGAGGTATCAGACATATCATCATGTCATTACGTAGGTAGTGTTTACGGTAAGCACCAGCAGTAAATAAGTAACTTATAATAATATATTATAGTGAAATCATATCCTGCAACATGCACTGCAGTATTCCCCACGTTCTCGTATTATAAAATATAATTTATTAGTTGATATTACATATTTTGTAATATTTTGAAAAGCTAGTTATAACTTTAATTTTTATAGTTAGATTTATAGTTAAAGATATTTTATAATTTATAACGAAAAAACTCCCTGTGCCTAGTGATTAAGGTTTCTTTTGGTTATTTAATTTTAAGATTTGAATTGGCAATGAAAGTTTCTTGACATATTATTATGTTTTATATTATGATAGGAATTATAATGGATTAGTGCAGTACGAAACTGCACCAAGTCGCTATAGTGTAATACTATTACAGGTTTAGGCTGGTTTTTACCATCTCCGGTTAAAGTTAATGGACGCTTAACTGGCTGAATTCTAACGGTAATAAAAGCTGTTATCATCCAAATAGCATTTACTGACACCTAACCGGGTATCGTAAGAACAGCCTTTATACACAAATATGTTTTCAGTATCATCGAATCAAATAGATTGCTGTTGTGCAGTGCGCACAATATTATTTAAATATTTTACATCGCACAATTTATTATACGTATTACGATTTCTGTTATTGGTACCTAATACCATTGGTGCTGATACCCGCCTAAAATACAATATAGTGTAAAATGAATTAAAATGAATATAAAAATAGAACTATATTATACTTTGAATATTGATGAAATATTTTATGGTTAAATACATTAATAATATAATATTAGTTACTAGTATTGTTTATGAAACTTATAAATATATTATAATTTGACATTTAGATAGGAACCACTCCTACACCCAACCGCTCTAACACTGAATTATGAATGACATATTTTGTCATATAGTGATATAGACCATAATTGTATATTATATTATATAGTTGATCATTGACCAAAAACAAAGAATGACTCATAAAAAAATAAATTATAACTTCATTGCATGTTATAAAAATACAACCATCGTTTTTCACGAATCGATGAATGACCGTTTAGTACACTATACTATATAGCCATGGCGTATTTGCGTGGTCTCGTCAGAGTTTTGTTATGAGAATGTCAGCTCACCATTTTTTCTCTCTCACTGATCCTCGTGCAAAATTTATGTTTAGTAGAACCAGCCCTGTGTTATTACTTTAAATATTAAGATAACACCACTTGTTACCCAACTTTAAGCTAAGAACATCGCTTGTGCGGCTACGTTGGCTTTTTTCGATATTTTAATTTTTATACAATTTATAAGCGTTTTTAAATTCTAATAATTTACATGCTCATAACTTACATAAAAATGAAAATATCACACAAAAACCAACTTAGGGAAACAGGTAATATTTTTAACTTAAAGTTTGATGATATGTGAATTCACTCTAATATTAAAAGTAATAATACGGACTTGGTTCTGCTATACGTAAATTAGGTATGTTGCACGTCGGTTAAATAGAGGCGATCACAACAAATAATGATCTGACATTTTCTTGATATATGAAAATAATATTATTAGCATAATATGGTATATTTTATCATGTATATCGATGTCGCCGTTCGAATAATAACCGTAAACATAATATGTCTAGCACGGAATGACGACGGCGGTGTCATCGTCGACGCACACTGAAACGATTCGCTTTATCTCTCGAAATCGTTTTCTTATTAAGTTATTATTCAATTCTAAAATGATACTTTTTTTACTCATTTCACTATAATACTATAATAAAAAAATAATATATTATGTGTGTGTCCTAAAACAGTGGCTTGGAAGTAATCTAAAACTCATATATTTGCTCGTATAAATACGTAATGGAAAATACCGAATATATCGACCCACCCACCGCTACATAATATAATAGACTCCACTTAGTGGCGTATCTAAAACGACGACCGAGAGGCAATTGTGTTATTTTTTAATACAAATATTGATACGGAATAAATAGTCAGTAACAGGAATTATTGCTTTTTATTTAATATCCATTTGACAACTTTTTTGGCGGCTCTAGTCTGCGTAGGTACATATACTAAAATTATAACTATTATTTGCCCACATTTTTATGAATCGTTTGAGCACCAATTATTTTTTTCGTATTCGTTTGCGCACAGAATATACACAATATAGTAGATACATTTTGGTTATTAAAATGCCTATGAAGAGCTTCAGATATGTTCGTTGTATTTGGTTGTTCATCATTTGGTTTTCCAGCCCCTATCAGTGGGTTAAGTTTGAATTAGGTAGTGTATATGAAAATATATTAAGTAAAAACATAATCAGTCAGAGAAGTATAATCCATTAGGTAGAGCGATAGCTATTTTAAATTTGCAAAATATGTTATCTTTATTTGTTTAAGTGACAAATACAGAGCAAACAGAAAAAAATTTAATCAATTTACCTATGAGTACCTCGTATTTATTATACTAGTATTCTATAATAATGAAGTGCCTACACACGACAACACCAAGATTGTGCTGAATTCAATGTACAACATACAATTTTACATTGAGGAAAAACCTTTAAAATTGAGTTATGTGCATATTTTTCAAAGTAAACGTGATGGGTATAGACACTACCTACTGGCATGTAAAAATATTTTTAATAATTTTGAAATTTGATTGATATACAGACGAGTAAATAATTACAGGTACCCAATAGGAAAATAATATTTTAAATACCTATGTGTGAACGTATATTATTGCACACACGAGTGGTTAATTGATATTTCTTCTATATTCTATGGTCAAAAAAGTTCAGGGTTTTTAATGGGACATTTTAAAACGTGCTCAAACTATTATTGTGGTCAATTTTATTACCATGTTAATACACATAACCCATAAATCCAACAACCATTCAAATCACCCACGAGTCTATATTATTATAGTGTGTACAACTCACTTTTATCGTGTCTCCGAGTGTGTTGTGGCCCACACTTATTGTTGTGCCTACGGATTGAGATAGTGCGGACTGGAAACGATACGTAGCGTGGTTAACTACAGGGAGCACATTAGATCCCACAGCATTATTTCATCGGTAAGTACCAATAGTTCTATTATTCCGAGACCGTGATCCACGCCTTTCTCTGATATTAGTAAATATTAACAAATCTCATTTGTATATGGTTGCCATAATATGTAATGCAGAAATCGTCGCATCCACCGCTTCTCCAGAGGAATTAGGGACCGTTAAAAAGCTGCTCGTTTCTATTTTAAGTGGCCCATGCACGATGCAATCAATATTGTTCTATACGTTTTTGTAATAATTGAGATGGCTTGATGAACTTGATTTACCTCCATACGTATACAATTTATCAAACTACAAGTCACACATCAACATTTTTATTTCAGTGTAAATATAGTGACAATATGGGTTAATAATAAATCGACCAAATATGGCTGGAAGGCGGAGTCCCCCCTTTTTTTTGAGCTTATCTCTTATTTTTTTTGTTTGAAACGGAACGCTGGAAACGCTATATTTCCAAGTGAATGATAAAAAAATATTATTATACAATATAATTAATCAATATATTTTAAAGTTTAAACATATATTAGGTAATTATTAAATGGTAAATAAATTGAGGTTCTTAAAAAATGTTCGAATTTGTTAAAATAAAAACGTCGTTCACGTTCAAGTTCGATATTTTGAAAAAAAAAAAAACTAGTGACGTTCGCGCATCATTCACTAAATATGAACGTGAACGTGCGTTGATAAACCACGTTCTTTCCAAACACTGCCTGCAACTGCATATGACGGTGCGTTACTCTGGAGCATTGTCTAATTAACTTGACACGGCTCAAAGGTACGACAGCTGTTTGCCGAGCGGAGCCAACAACTGCAGGGCCCGGGCTACCAGCACCACCAGCAACAGCGACGGCAGCGGCGCCGGAGTCTGACCGGTCGCGACCGGTCGCGGCCCCTGAGACCGCTGTCCGGCGCCGACGACGATCCGCTGTGCAAGACCGTCTGCTTTACCGCTGGCGGTGGCGCCGACTTGGTGGGCATCAGCGCCGCGGACGGCGGCGACGTGCGCAGCGAACTTCTCGCGCTGTTCGGCAGGCTGCCCAACCTGGGCGGACAGCTGCTGTCGGAATCGTTCCGCGGGGGAGCCGGCAAAATGAAGACCGCCCAGTCGGCGCCCGAGCTCAAGTGGTTGCTGGACGGCAGCAACGGACCCGGCAGGGCGGGAGGGGCACAACGGCCACCGCAGCCACCAGCGGCCGGGCCGGATAAAGGCGGCGGTATTCCGAAACGGGCGGCGGCAGGACGTGCAGGTGACGCCGGTGATTACGGTGATGGTAATGGTGACGGCAGCGCTGACGACGACGGCGATGGCGACAACGATCAACGGCAACAGGTCATTATCGTCTCACGGCAGTCGTCCGCTGACGATGGGCATGCTGCATGTGCATATTGTTGCTATAAAATAATATTATTATGTTGGCGCGTCGTCGTAATAATAGTATTATCGTCCAACACGTAATAGTTATTTAATAGAGTAGTCGTGTGTCTGTGTGATATTTTGATATTGTTGTGACACGGTAAAGTAGTTACCCTACATAGTCAGCGTGGCGTCACAAATTTGTTGAGTAGCTAGACCATAAATATAATGGATACGTTATAATAATTTGTAATCATTTGTGCCGGATACAGAGTTGGCATGTAACCATAGACGGATTTATACAATTGCCGCCCCATCGATGATAAAAAAGTATTTTAAAATTAGGCACTTATTTAACATTACTACCAAAAAAAAAAAAAATCCTACAGACTATACCAATACAAAATGTATTAAAATATGATCTATCATCAGGTTTTCGAATGAATTTGCCCTACCGGCTACCAATTAAATATAATTATTGTACAGATATAATTAGGTTAATTAAACAAACTAATGTGTTCAAAACAAATCAAATTTAAATTATACCATTAAAAAAAAAACAATCTAACAACAAATTAAACTTAAAAACTCTTACTTATTATTATTATTATAAAACATATTGTAAAGAAAAAAAATTATTTCATATTTTTGCATCTTGCTTTTTTACTGCAAAAGTTTGAATTATATCTTTAAATTGTATTTCTTGAGTCATTTCACTTTCAATCGACAAAATCGCTAAAGAGTATAATTTTTCTTGTCCTAATTTTGGAAGCAAATACATTTTTATTCCCTTTAAAGAAGAAAATGATGTTTCTGCAGAACAGTAGTTATATAGTGGCAGTTGTTGAAATATAAATCCTTAACGTTATTTCTATGTTTGGAAACACTGATTTCAAATCATTTTGAAAAATTATTTTCAAAAGTTTTAGTGCTGTGAATTTTTCTTCATTATATTTTGAAATTGAAAAAGATCGAAAATGTAATATGTTTAGGCTCAAACTCTTCATAATCTAAATCAGTTTTATAAATTGGGTGAAGTTTTTTTTAGCTTTTTCTGATATTTAATTTTGCTCCATGTTTTTAAGTGTGTTTAAAGAAGAAAAGGGTTCACAAAAATATTTATAGGCTACTCGTACTTTTTGAAGTAGAAATACTAATTATACTAACAAGAACGTGTTAGGTGTTTTGTTAAAACCTAATAGGTATTCTCAATAAAATATTGGCCTAAAAAGTTCGCCCCTAAAAATTTGACGCCCTAGAGAACTGCTTACTTTGCCAGACGCTAAATCCACCACTGCATGTACCTAACCCATGTATATACTACATAGCTCATCATCATTTTTAAACTAAAAAAATGGGAAAGTCAGTGATTAACTTGTGTTAGAACAGTTATGTCAACGTCAAGAACGTTAGGGTTAAAACCTGTAATATTACTATAAACTTATAGGTAAATTTTGCCTGCAAACGATAATATAATCTATATGAATTAACTCTGAACGTTTAAACTTTGTCTTTAACTCTAAAGTAACATTATTTCTCCGTTGCCAGTTTGCTAGTTTGCTATAGTTATTATTAAAATTTATAATCATGAAGTTTAAATTTTGAATTATACACTCATTTCAGGTATTCTGGTGAACGATTTTATATATACATATTTGTGTTTTTAAATTTTAAAGTACATTTTTATTTTTATTTGACGAATGTATGTAAATCAATGAAACTTAATTCTTCTGGTGATTATTTTATCATAAATCGTACATTATTTCAAAAACAATATAAACGCTTCGAAAATTGTTTTTTTTTTAAATAACTGTACGTATTAAAAACATTTTTTCTACTATTTTTTAGTCATAGTTTTTTACTTTTTGGTACTAAAACATATATTTTTAATTTCATATTTCTGAGTAAAATATTATTTGGTTTTTGGATGTGTAAAAATCTAATTTTGGTTAAGTAGCTTATGGGTTATAGATATATTATACATGTTTATATGAGTGGAGTAGTAAGCCAACATTTTTGGTTTTTACTTTTTTTACTACTTAATAATGTATAAAAAAAATATTTTCTTAAACGTAATAGTTTTCAAAATAATGTGAGTGATTCATGATAAAAATCATACATGTATGTAAACATTTTTAAATGTAAAATATTTTTGACGTCATGCCCCTATAGGAAAGTACCTAACGTACCTATGTACCTAGTTATTTTACGAATGCATGTGAACTTATTGAACAGTTTTTTTTAATTTGGTGATTAGGTCATTTAATTGAATTTATTTTTATTTTTATTGTCTGTGCATAGATTTATGTATAATATGTTTAAAAACATGTGATTTTATGAAACAGTATTTGTAAACATTAAAAAATGTATTGTGTATGCTTATATACGTAACATAAATTTATATTGTACGCAACTTATCGAATTGTTGGTGATGCAATTTTGAATATTTTTATTGCAATAACTGCTCTGCTAAGACAATATACTATTGATATCAATAAATGCACTGCTCGTATTCTCCTCATATGTGACTGTTGATAACATAGTATTATTAATATTTAAGTATAATTTATTCACATTCTGAACTAAGATGTGCATTTATATTCTAATTAGACATTAAATTAATTTGGTTATGAGTCTATAATATAAAATAACTGTTGGAGTTGGAATTATATATAAAGTTGGTATTTTGTGCTCAGTGGTCGTTTTAAATACATGAAATATAAATTAAAAATGTTTAACGTTGTGTCGTTTGTATGTTTATGTATTTCCATAAAAAAATTAATTACGTTTTGACCAAATAGCATGTCGTGAAAGAGTTATCGATTTTGCATATCGTAGTTTGCATTAGTTTTTTTTATTGGGCTTGTTATTTTTTTCTTTATATCGTAATTAAATATTATAATAGTAGTATATTATAATAAGTAGCATCAAAAATAACTGCGCTGTGTGTAATGCATGTGCGTGTTTCATATCATGTGAGATGATAACCGCAGAAAATTGCATCGAAACAACATTTGTAAACATTAAATACTTATACAAAATAAACAAACATAATGCAATTATATATTATGTACACCATAAATAATAATAGGTTACTGACTGAGATAGATAATAATAAACTTAGTATGTATATCCTGATGAACATTCTTTCCATCTCAGTACTCTTATTAAATGTATTGTTTTTAATTTTGGAGGTAGTTTGTGATATTCATTTATTTTTAATAAAAACAAAATAATGATATGATTCAGGATTCTCCTACAGTCAAGATGATTCTTATGTTCAGTTGTATCATGTGAATAGTTGTCGTCAGGAATAATGTAGAACTGTAACTGTTGAAATGTATTACTCATTTATTTTATTTATCTGAACTGCATTCATAATAATATTTACACTAAGGAAATCTTTAGTTAATCGAAATTATGTAATAGTTTAATAGGTCCAATTGTATATTCATAATCGAAAATATTAATTCTAAAAACAATCATGTTAAATAATTTATTTAAGCTTGTAAAGTTGAAATACTTCATATAAAGTATAACAGTAAAATGTTTTATACTTTATACCTATATAAGAATATATTAGTATAGCTATTAAGTTGATAACCTATAAACTATTGTTTTTGACAAATAAATTGATACATAATCAATTTCAGAGTATTTACTATTTATATTATGTATTATGTAGGTTAGCTTTTAATTATACAGCCGAGTAAATTATTACCTATATAGTGCGTAAAAGCTAAAAGTCCCTTTTTAATAAGTAATAAGTATGTAAGAAACTTAATAGAAATTTTTTTTACAACTTCATAAAAAGTTGTGGATTTTAATACACATTTTGACTCATGTCGCAAGATTTACTTTCAAATCGAAATAATTAGTAAAAATTCTAAACACAGTCCAACTGCCTTGGAAAAACTTGCTGAATCGTTTTGATTTTTATTTGATACATTATGAACAGATTAACTTTATAGCTTTTAGTAATAACTCATTTATTCTAAACCAGTCAATTACTCTCGCTATTATCTCTCGCTAAAGGCTATAGTACACCCGATCGTTACAAGTATTTCACTAGTTCAGTAATAAATTATTATATAATTAGACACGTTTAGTTGCATGTGTGTAGGATCATTGTTGAGTATAAATTGTACCAAAAGTAATAAATTTAAAATAATTTGTTTTTACGTTTTAAAGTTCAAATGTACCTACTGTTATTGAATTATACTAAACTTACCAATAGAGGATTACAATGACGCCGATGATGTATAAATTAGTGTTTGTTTGTCCACAGCAACAGTTGCAGCGACCGGCGGCACGAATAAACAGCAAAACCGCGACGGTCGTGAAAAAACCACTGGCCACAGTCAACGGTAACGTTGGCGGCGGTGGTGGTGGTGGCGGCGGTGGTGGCGTGGGTCGCGTTGCTAAAAAGGCCACATCAAATGACTCCAACAGGTTGCTATTGCCGCCAGTCGTGCAGCCGACGGTGATAAACGCACTAGCGGCGGGCGCTGGTGCAGCCGCGGCGGTGGCCAGCGTGACCGCGGCCAGGGAGGCTGGCATCCAGAAACCTTTGGTCAGGGCGGCCAAGCTTCCGCAAAAGCCAGCTGCCGCGAGGCGCGTATCACCACTTCCGGCCAAGGCCGCTCCCAGGCCACCGGTCGTTAAGCGCGCCACGCCGACTACGCCGACCACGGGGTCACCACGACCACAGCCCCTGAAACAGCAACTGTCCGCGGACAGAGGCCCGCCAGCCAAGGGCATGGCCCGCTGCCCATTGTGCGCCAGGGACTTTGCTGCCGACAGGCTGCCCAAGCACGAGCAGGTGTGCCGCCGCACGCGTGACCGCGACCGCAAGCGCAAAGTGTTCGACACGAGCAAAAAGAGGCTGGAAGCCGTGGCCGCTGAGGCCGGTGTGGACGTTACATCGTTCAAGAAAAAGGTTGGTAACCTATTTAATGGATAGTGTGAGTTGGCAGGGCCCATATAGATTGCATAGCGAAAACATGTGTCTAAGAGGACTTCACATACCCATGCATTTTTTGTAAGAGTAACGGTTTCGTAGCGTTTGTAAACAATTGAAGGTTGTATGGACTGTGGAGAAGTATATTGTAGTAAATTATTGACATTTCACAGATCAAAACAATATATGCTAAGGGTTGTAGGTGGACAATTCGAGATGGAAAAGTCAATGAAAAAATATCTTGAATTAGTTAATTTAAGTGGGGATACTTATTATCCCACAACAGCTGTTTTTAACGCTTTGTTTTTTGTGCAGAGCCAAAAGGAGGACCAGCGGGTCGCCGAGAAGCTTCAGAAGAAAAAGGACGCGTGGCGCAGGAAGCATGACCAGCTGTTGCGCAACGTGCGGGCCGCAAGGGCAGTGCAAAGACATCTGGCTGCGGGCGGCACGGTGAAGGACTTGCCGCCGGAGCTGGAGAACGCGACGGCGGACCAGGATGACGAGATTGACTCGGACCTGGTTAAGTGCCCGCACTGTGGCCGGACGTTCAACGAGGCGTCCGCGGAGAGGCATATGCCTTTGTGCGCGGACCGGCAGCGGAACGCGGCCGCCCGGATGCAGAACAACAAGAAACGGTGAACCTCGCCGTTTCCACAATCGCCACCACCGCAACAACAGTATTATTATTTTTATTTTTCATTAATTATAGGTGCTATTTTAAGCCGGATTCACACTACATCACGTCATGTCATGTTCCGTATACTCAGCTCACCATGTTTGTTTTTTATCTTTGAATCAACGCACGAAATAGTTAAAACACATTCATTGCCTCCAAACAATTTAATATCCATTTGAATCAATATGTGTATAAGCTAAATAATAAAATCAAATACAAAACCGATATATAGCCTCTAAAATATTATGCTCTATGATTAAGATTACTCGAAAGCTACAAGAAAAAACAATGATTTTACGTGAATGCGTTTCTTCATTTTTGTGCTTGGATCATGGAAAGAGAAAACGAATAGACAATAATATGCGCTTACATCGTCTTAAGAAGACTCAACACACAAACGCCCATCCGCTTGTGGTTGAAAAAACCATTTTGAATGAGAAAGAATCACTCAAACTACAGTCAAAGATTAGAAACAAAATTTATCCTCTACACCGAGTTCAATATTTTCTGTGTCGTATAGTTTTAATTTTTGTTTTTAAATAACACAAATAAAATACAATTATCATAATAGTAATTTTCATCGATATCCAATAAAAACGTTTTGACTACAAAATATATTGTACTCGGTATCGTGACATATTTTGCTTCAAGTTTCCACTATGATTGTATAGCTTAATTATTGGTTATTTATTTTGTGCAAAACAAAGTTTTTTTACAAACTGTTGATAAGTGAAGGTGTCTTCCTAATTATTAGTAATAGGAATTATATAATCATTTTTGTAATTGTGCTGATGGTAAAATACTTATGATTTAAAACTCTTTGGAGTACACACAATTTAATGTAAAATGCTTTTATAGCCAATTTCGCTGAGAATTATGAATGTGTTGACTGTTGAGTGACAAACGTACTCAAATATCTGTTACATATTTTATAATTAATAATTTATATTTATCTAATATAAAACATAGCATCTATGTTATTTGGTTGTCTAATTGAATTCCCCTTAATAACTTCAAGGACATAGGCCCCTAAATGAAATGTCTTTATACATTTAATTAGACTATAAGTCTATAACCGTCTATAACACAAAAACATATTTTGCTAAACGTGCATCGTTTATACTTGGACACATATTGATACAATACATCACAGCCTGTCTCATAATTGTCTGTTAAATATATTTTATAGGTTCGTACTCTGACTAGTTCTGTCTACGTAATATTTTAGTTGATAATATTTTGTTTATATACCTATACAAAATAGTAAATTCATTTTTTTTTAGAAAATATTCACAACTAAATAGTTCAGTTGGGTCAACTATCCATTTTATTAATTAATTATAATTAAAAAATATAATACCTATGAACTTATAATTCTGAAGTACCTATAAAAGGAAATCATGATTTTTATTAAATATTGTATTGTAATGTAAAGACAATACACAATGTAACAAATAAATAGGTATTAATATTAAACCTTATAAAAAATGAATAGTAGTTATTACAATAAAACAACAACAAATCCTTGAAACAATGTAATGTTAAATGTTTACAAAAGCGAACAAAAAAAAATTTATAAAATACAATTGTATTTAAATGTTTCATATATTTTTTTATAATTTTCAGACATTTCTACTAAACAACAATATTACCGATAAGAACGGCTGTGATGAACTCAACCGCTCTACCTATTGTTGCAGTATGATCATTTCCATCCAACTTGAATCTACCTATAGTCTATAGACTCAATAGTATTAAGTAAAAATATCATAGCGTTTCATGTTTTATGATTTTACAGTATATAAGTTGTCTAGAAATCGAATTATTATATTATACGTACAAACAGTTCAAAACGTTTTAACTCATCTGTGCAATGACTAAGAGTTAAAATAATGTACCGAGTCTGAGTGTACCGCGAGCTGTGAAGATTATAATAACATATCATACACATTTACTATATGTAATCTCAATAGAAACTGTCTTTTTGAGTCTTGACAGACCCTGTGTATTGTAAAATATTGCCCACGATAGTAGTATTTAAAAATTATGTATTATTGATTTTTTATCATTTTATAATTAATGTTATTTCTAATTGATCCATTGTAACTGTAATATTGTTGTATTTTTGAGGTTGTTTCATCCATTTATTAATTAATCAATTAATTTATAATAAAACATTTTTTTTTTAATATGATGATGATTATGTACTTTATCCAGTTTTACATCTTTCAAAATTGGTCCTTATGTCGCACACTCGCACCAATTGTAAATCATGAATTAAAACTCGATAGTATTTTACAAGTTTTAATTTTATATTTTTATTCAATATCAGGTAAATTGCTAAATTTTTCATATTTTGAGGTGCATTTTGCCAGCAGGTAACACCTTTGTGGTTTTTAAAATTTTCTCATATACGTGATTTTGAGGACTAGTTTTCAATTTGTGTGGATTACCTACTAGTTTTTTTCACAAATAAAAAAAAACAGTATACATGCTTTGTACCTAATACAAATCTTAACTCTACGATGAATAATATTCTTATACTTAAGTGTGCAATTGCTTAAAATCATTGGTATTGATATTTGCACTTTTTAAGGAATTATGTAAAAGCCATAATGTTGTACTGTGTGCAAGGCCGTAGCCGGGGGGGGGGGGGGTAGGGTTCAAAAGACTCCGATGTTCGAAATTGCAATCACGATATAATCACGAAAGAAGAAGCAACACGTTTATACAATAAGTACGATGACTAATGATGACTAAAGATCCAAGTTTCATAGCATTTTAAAGGAGGGTTCAATAATTCAAACGTACAATAAGTTACATTTTCTAAATTATATATGATGGACTTGTTACTAGAATCTTAGAGCATTTTTTTAATTATGCACAGTTATAATATTACTCAACATATGCAAATATGCATATGATTGTGCAATCCTTAGTATACAGAACAAAATTACTTTCGAGGATACCACACACTCGGTTTTTAAGGAGTTTGATATAGGCAGTTTAAATGACATTTTGATAGAAACTAAAATTTTGAATTTATAATATACTTATTTAAAGTATCTTACAAGTTACAAGTGACCCATGTCTTTACCATTGTTAAACTCTTGCATACTTATGAGGTTAAATCATAAAAATCTAGTTTCGCAGGGTAGAGAATAACTCATATAAGTATGAAATTAAATTTATATGGAATCAAGATGAATATACAATTTTTTGTTAAATAGTTTTTATTATTTTATTTATTTATTTATTATTAATTTAAACGGGTAAAACCCAATTACAATTTTTTATAATTTAATAACAATTTTGTAGACTTAAATCTATTAAAAAGAAATACAGTAAATAGTATAAGTATAAATAAAAATAATAATATTAAAAACTATAAAAACAAAATAAAAACATAATATGACAATAATAATATAGGTAGCAGAAATAATTTAAAGATACACAATATAGTTACAAAAACAATCAAAAGAAGGAAAACTAAATAGATCTATTTGGACGTCATTAGTTATTTTCATTAATCTATTAATAGGTGAACAAAGTGCGTAATTAGTTCTTTGAAATGGAATACCATGAATATAATTTTTTTAGTCAAAATAAGATTGAATAACATAAACAATTATGGATTTTATAACAATAACTTTTTTGTAATAATACAGATAAAATAAAAATAAAAATATACAATACATAAATCAGAATATAATTATAACTTGCAACTTACATTTGTTTTTAAATTTCTCAGAAATAACATAGTTGACATTATCTTTTTGTTTACTTGCATACAAAAACATCCCATACTTAGCAGTTAGAATGTTTTAATATATACGATAGAAGCTGCTTATTAGGAACATAGGTAATTGATACAATCGAATTATTGAAACAAAATGTCTAGGGATTCGCTGGCCCTAGGTACATACCTATTAACAAAAACAATTGGTTTATGGATATATTTCACCTTGGTCCAAAAGTGTTCCTAATACGAGCTTCTACGTATACTGGATGATCGATTAACCTGAACTACTCATTAGTTCAGAAATACTAACAATTTTGAAAATATTTCTTTTACATTACAAAATATTATATTTACTATTTTAATATTTTTTTCGTTATTATTTTTAAGTTGTTAACTCTTTTGAGAAATAACGTATATATTTAATTTTGTATTCTTAAGTAGAATATTATTTAGAACAGCAGTTTCCAAAGTGTACATCCCGGCGCCCTGGTTGCCACAGTGCACTGGTGCCTTGCTGCTGTAGAACTTCGTACTATTTGTCATGCCATATGAGTTGGGAAAGGAGCCCTGTAAAATCCCTATTTCAAAAAGGTTGCCACGAGTCAAAAAAGTTCGGGAACTGCGAATTTAGAATACCCATTAATACAATTTTATAAAAGAATAAAAAACTTAAAAATTATAATTTATTTCTTAAGAATCCCGTCTCTTTTTTCTAACAAAAAATACTCCATGCCAACTGTACCGTCTATCCTAATCATAAACTCAAATGATAAAACTTCTGAAAAACATTTTTTAATTCGTCATGAAATTTTTTTTAAAAACAATTTTGAAACTTTTTCGAAATTGAACTCCTTACAATGGTGGTTTTGGGGGGCGAGACAATAAATTTAAGTTAAGAAATCAAAAAATATTTGTTGAGTCACTATTTATGATTGTATTAATTTACTTTAATTTAAAATATTGAATTAAATTCAATAGACAAACAACAAATTGAAATATTATTGTACAGAACTTGAGAATGGCTGCGTGTCGCTGTAACGTTATAATATTATATCCGTTGCTGTTCAATACTGCTCTCCGCCGCCATCGCTAGAGACCTGCCTTTGACAGAGGCGGTAACCGCCGCCGCCTAAGTTCTCGCACGTGGGATGCGTCTATACGCATACACGCGCTAGCGTAAAAACAGTAAAAAACCGCCGACCTAGGCGGCTAAACTCTGTCACCTCTAGACGTTGGCCATCGGGTACAATGTATACAGCCGCGCTACTTGCTAGGTCAGGGACTGCGCTCACACATCTGTGCGCTGTTGTCACTGATACCCGGACACCCTCGACACGGCCGTCGCTCGTCTGTCAGTGAAATGGTATTAAATTTAAAAAAATACTTAAGCATATTATACATGTGTCACTGTGTTAGAGTAATAATTTATTAAATATTTGTTCACCCCATGTCAAAACCACTACTGACTAACTAATTAACTCTTTAAAATTAGATTTTTAAAAATCAAATATGTAAAGAATTTAAAAATGTTTTCAAGATGTAATACTTCTGACCAAAAAAGCAAAATAATTAATATTTGTGTAATATGTTATTAACACGTTCGTGCATGTATCTGAGCGCTCTGCTATTTATTTCATACACAATCACTTCCACTAATGATCACGGATCACTTATTACGCATTTACAAGAACCTCATACACACGCATACAAAAATGCCTATATTTAACTCCTTAAAAAAGGTTGGTACCGAATCTTCTTAAAATGTTTTAGTGTTTCTGAATAATGAGTGTTTCACGTTCAATTGATCGCTTTGTATAATATATTATACATAAACACAAAACGAATCTCAATACTTATATTAATAAATTATAACAAATGTAGATCTTAATTTTTTCCGCGCTCATCCGTGCGTCGAGTGCTTCATCTTTTGAATGCTCAATTGTTGGAAGAACAAAGTTTTTGTTGATGTACAGTTCAATTTTCTTCCCATCTTCTATATACTCCAACTAATACACACATTTTAGGATGTCCGTGATATTTCAAATATTTTACTTGCACCAGCTGCCGTACAACATTTGTCATCAACCACGCTTTAGCAAAAAAAATACCATGTTTGAGGTAGGTATCCTAGGTTTAATGTCTCCAAAAAAGAGACATCGTTTTGGAATTATAGTCTGAACGAAATTTGTTTTTTTCTTTAGTAAAATCCGTCATGACTCAATGTTTCTTATTAAATTTTAATTTAATAAAAATAATTCTAATTAATGGTTATAAGATACATAGGTAGTTGAAAGGTCGATCGTTCAAAGTGGGTATATTACACTCATATTACATAACTCTTTACTCGTCGTCTATGTTTCTTCATCTTATATTTTTCAGTTTAATGTTAGACAACATTTGTCTTTAACTGTAGTTGTTAAATTTATTCTCGAGGATGGCGAGTAAATGGTGAGTTTAACGCCATCACCAGGGCGAAAATTGTGATTTTTAACACCTCACTCAAGTCAACGTTGTTTTTGTTAATGATCTCTAGTCGGTGGTAGTGGTTGAATATTGTTTGTGATTGGTCTAACTTGAGTTGTAGTTGGTCCAATGCTGTAACTGTTAATTCATTAATTGAACGATGATGGATTTCTCTCCTGAAGTCTGGCGTTGAATGTACATTGGCTGCACAACTTCTCTCAAACCAAGTAGACTCTGTAAACAAATTATTTTACTTTTACAATACATTGTTTACACAAAAATGGTTTTCTGAAATGTAAGAAAAGCACACCTTTCTATGCGGTCTAATATGGAAAGGCCAGTGTAGAAAATTTGAAGCTCAGAGCAGGTGGTTGTGGTGGTTGATGTCGATGAAATTACAGATGACGAACCATAGTCACTGTTTTGACGGTCCGTAATGACTGAAGGTTTTGTTGATGTTTCTGAAATAATGAGTGTTTCACTTTAAATTGAACACTTAGTATAATATTATATATATAAACATAAAAAAAATCATAATATTTATGTAAATAAGTAATAATAATTGTATATTGTGTGAATTTATAAATTAATTTTATTCATCAATAATAATAGCAGCAGAAGAGTAGTATCGCTCAAACAGAGCCTCCTCTGCTGTTAGTTGAAAAACGAAAAAAAATATGTTACTTTTAATTTTCTCCGCTCTCAATTATCCGTGTTTTGAGGGCTTGATTTGTTGAGTGCTCAATTGTTGGAAGAATCCAGTTTTTGTTAATGTACAGTTCATATTTTCTTCCCATCTACTATATGTTTCAACTAATACACACATTTTACGATGTCCATGATATTTCAATTATTTTACATGGACTAGCAGCTGTACAACATTTGTCATCAACTACAGCTTAGTAAAAAAATAGCATGTTTGAGGGAGGCATTTTAGATTTAATGTTTCCAAAAAAGAGACATTATTTTGGAATTATAGTCTGAACGAAATTTGGTGTTTCCTTTAGCAAAATCCATCATGACTTATTATTTCTTATTAATTTTATAAATTATTCTGATTAATGTTTAATATTAGATACATAGATAGTTGAAAGGTCGATCATTCAAAGTGGGCATATTATACTCATATAGTAGAACCACTCTACATATCCAATACAAATCCACTATCCAAGAGTAATAATAACACTCTTTACTCGACATCTATGTTTCTTCATCTGCTTTTTTCAGTTTAATGTTGGACAACATGTGTCTTTAGCTGTAATTTTTAAACTTATTCTCGAGGGTGGCGAGTATATGGTGAGTTTAACGCCATCACCAGGGCGAAAATTGTGATTTTTAACGCCTCACCCAAGTCAAAGTTGTTTTTGTTAATTATCTGTAGTCGGGGGTAGTGGCTGAATGTTGTTTGTAGTTGGTCTAACTTGAGTTGCATTTGGTTCAGTACTGTAACTGTTGAATCTGTTATCGAACGATGATGGATTTCCTTCCAGAAGTCTTGGCCTTGACTGTACATTGGCTGCACATCTTCTCCCAAAACAAGTAGACCCTATAAACAAATTATTTTACTTTTTCCAATTCATTGTGTACAGAAAAATAGTTTTATACAACGTAAGTAATGAACACCTTTATGCAGTCCAGTATGAAAAGGTCACTTTAGTAGATTTGACGCCCAGTGAAGGTTGTTGTGGTATTTGATGTCGGTGAAATTATTAGTCGCCGTTTTTACCGACCATGTTGTTGATGATTCGTTTTTACTGAAGGTTATAGTGATATTTCAACATAACAAATATTATAATCTTATACATTTACACCTCGCTAAATGCTGTATTAATGTACAATAAGTCCATAATTACTCGCCAGTCACCGTCTGTATATATTTAAGTTCAGATGATGGCTATAATTCCATTTTAACCAATATAATACCTCATATTATATTTCTATCCCATTGTATCAAACAATATTTGTCCCTACAACTATATTTTGATTTGTCCTGATGAATTGAAGCAAGATATATTTTTTCTCGTTCGTAGGAGTATGTCAACGATTAAGCTGTCGCATTATCAATAAATTATCATGTTTATAAATAAGAGTCCAACTTGTCAGTTAATAATCAAATATTGAAAAATAATACAAATAATCATAGAAATTAAAAAGTTTTAAATCATATAAATTATTTATTGAATGTAAATAAAGATAAATTAAAGTCAATAATATTAATATTTTAAATGTTGGGCTAGGTACAACATGGCTCACCCAGTGAACCATTACTATGGGTTATTAAATTAAAACATTATGTGTTGTTGGTTTATTAGACTAATTTTTGTTGATTACTCTAATTTAAATACCTAACTTGTTAGATCATATTGGTTCTTTTCACTCGTCATACTAGATCTATACATCTTATACCACATTTGTATGTGGTCCTTCTCCCTTCAATCATAAGTGAGTAACCCGTGATTAACTATTTAGTGGTTGTAGGTAGTTGTGAACAATTTAAATATGATCATTTGTGTGAAAAAATTTCATTATGGTTTTGTTAAAAGGGAGGATTAATTTGAGAAGAGTTTTATCAATTCTCTGATGTTTTTAAACGAGGTACAATGATGCCAGTTAGTACTTCAAAAATTGAAAAATTAATCACAAGTCGAGGACTCGTACCTATTTGTCAAATGTTCTTACCACTCATTCTAATTTTAGTTTTAACTTAATAAGAAAACGCTAAATTCCATATACAATATAACTATATAGGTTAGTAGATTCATAAATACTGTTACAGAATAAAATTTGATAGGTACAAAATAAATGTTCGTGTATTGATAGCTATTAAAAACCCAATAGGTTAATATTATGTATTTACTATAAATATATAATATTGAAAAAACGGTTTTATTAATTTTTAAGTCAATCTAAATTAGTAATATGTATTTGAAATCTTAAAAGTACTTACTTTAGTTATTATATTAAATTGAATATTTGAAGAATAAAAGACAGCAAGGCACATCCTATGTGAAATCCAAGAAATGCAGGTGTGTTCTGTACGTGTGTTCTATATAAAAAATTATTACATTAAGCTTAATAAAAGTAAGTTTTTAACAAATGTAAAATTTTTATTATTTTTTATTAAAATTATTATTTAAAATAATTTAATAATATTTACCACTTTTTTATTTTAAAATTGTAGGTAGGTATACGTTTTTATTTTTAAACTAAATGTATTTGTTTAAAAAATTTTAAATATTAAAAATTTTAAAACTAAATGTTAAAACCACAATAAAAAGTATATTATTTCTGGGGGTCATATAATTATATTATTTTAAATAATTTATGCATATTTACTACATTTTTACTTTGAAATAGTGTGCATTTTTATTTTTAAACTAAATGTAAGTTTTTAACAAATGTAAAATTTTAAAAATTTAAAAATTAAATGAGATTAGCACAATTTAGAATGACCGATACACAAGAATGTATATTATTGGTGGGGAGTCGTTTTATATTTTTTAAAAATAATTTATGAATATTTACCACTTTTTTATTTTAAAATTGTGTCATTTTTATTTTTAAATTAAATGTAAGTTTTTAATTGTAAAAATTTAAAAATTAAATTTTAGAAGCACAATTTAGAATGACCGATACGCGATAATGTGTATTATTTGTGGGGACCATTTTATATACTTTTAAATAATTTATGAATATTAACCACTTTTTTATTTTAAAACTGTGGAATTTTTATTTTTAAATTAAATATAAGTTTTTAATTTAGTTGATAAGGGTGCTTAATTTGATTAGGAGTTCAAAAAAAAAGTGTAATTAGTCCACAATGTTTATTTTTTTTTACTAAAGATATTTTTAAGTATAGATCACATAATTCTGTGACGCAAGTTTAAAAATAAATGCAAATAATAGCTTACCTTGATAAAAATATAATTTATTTTATTTTAATGGAATTAGAACGAATATTTTTTTGATTGTAGAGTTACCTTATAACTATAAAATAATCCCAAATTGTTTATGCATTTTATTTTATTTTAAAACCTAGAAATCGAATGGTAAATACAAACGATCATTTTTAAAATATATTTAAATACTAACTTTTTGTATTTTAGCGAGTATTAGGAAGAGGGATATCCTATTCCCAGTACCAAGTAAAATACTTTGATTCCTTAAAAAGTTGTCGAAATGCTTACGAAAAATATCTGTTTTTATGCTGTTTTGTGTGTGCTTGATTGTTAAATTATTCCACCTCGCAACAAGGGAAACCGATACGAATATTTAGCGATAAATAAGAAGACGATATCCATCTTCTCTAACGTGGGGGATTTTTTCTCAACTCAATTAAGTCTTACCCCTGGCTTAGCGCCCACAACCGCTGGTGAACCACCTAGTCGGAGTATAGCGCTATTAATTGACGCGTGCATAGCTACGTTCGGGGTCCCCCGATGGCTGAAAGTTTGCGGCCCTCTACGCAATTGGTCCATCATTGGTCGTCACTCCACCAGCATACAGCTAGTTTTGCTCAAACTACAATGGTTTTTACAACAACCTATTTGAATGACGTCCGACGCCGCCAGTGCATTATCATAGGCTTAGGTGGATGAAATTCATCTTCACCTTGGGCTTCTGGAACACTGGACCGCCGTCGTCATCAACCAGCGATACGCTAATCAAGACGACGACAGTTTTACAACCGCCATTGGACGTCTAAGCTGCCGCCAACGGCTGCAAAGGTACGCGGTTATCTGCCATCAGAGCGCGGCCGTCGCAATACCAGCCGTGAAGCCGATATCGGTCAGAGTTCCACGGTCTTATGACAACCGCGTTAACGTGATGCCGCCTACGGGCAATAAAGATAAAGCGGTCGAAATTCGACTTCAACAGTTTCTTCGGCCTCGTAAGACCACCGTCATCCAAGACCGGCACGGGTCAGTCAAGGGGACGATAGTTTTTTCAAACACCAATGCACTTACGGACGCTAGTAGACGAGCCATGAGCAAAGGCGCGAGTGACGAAATAAATCGGCACCGACCTTAGGCGCCGTCAAACCATTGTCTTCGCCAATACCGTTCGAGCGACTGCGATGTTTAGAAACCCACACGTAATATCGCATAGGCACTACCGACGGTGATGTGAAGGCTGCGGCCAAACGAAATGAATCGCCAACCGCAGGACCTTCACGCCGCCGGGTCCATCACTGCCACCCTCACAGCGTTCTAAGCTACCTCTATATCACTTCACTTGTGCCATTGCTGTCGTCGTCACTCGTCGATGAGTGATATTTAGGATCAAAAAGGTGTGTATCTGTAAATAAAAAAAATAAAAATAATTATTAGTATTATAAATTAGCACCGAGTACGATTATATTACAATATATGGAAACTAAATACAAAATAATATTTTTTTTATAAAGAATTCTTAATATTAAACCTATAACGTGGTCCTAATAGCTATAATACACATTTATAGTAATATACCTAAGTAACAATAAAATAAAAATAAATAACAGTATGCAGTGAGTTTACACACATGGTTTTTGTAACTATGTGCCTATATAAATATATTGTATATGAAGTTTATAAGTCTTGATGCTTAAGTATCTGGAAAAACATCCAACAAGTATTTAATTATAAGTATAATAAATAATAATACATCAATACCCTTGTATTTAATACCATCGTCCATTAATGCAGATTCTGAAAAGGTTTGATAAAATGGAAAATAATAATTTATCTTTAAGACTCACGACCATATCTTTTCACACAGATATATGGAATTGTGTATTTGTGTGGTATAGAAAACTCAGCGTCGTCATGGAATAGGTACTTGCTAATCTGAAAACTTCCAAGTATAACTTATTAAAACCTTCACTGTATGTAGTATTAATTAACAACATTGTTACCATTGATGCTCATTTAATTTACAGTGATGATGATGAGGTTTATGGCAGTAGGTAGAACTTTGGTTGAAGATAATCGAAATTAGCTCTCATAGACCACCATTTACACATCTACTGAGGTCATTCCTCGGCGGAATTGGTGTACGTTAGCAAATCCATGAACAAATAAAGAATCGATTACATACTGGCATAGTGAGCCCTGTATATAATTTAAATGTGTATGATTTTATTATTATAACTCTAAACTCACCTAATTGAACAGCTTTATATAATGCATAGACTGAAATATGAAAACAGGTTCTGATCGTTGCTCTCTGATGGTAGATCTATTACTTCAATTGAGAACTAAATTTAGTAATAATTTCAGTTAGATTAGTTTGTCTTATTATTAATTTAACATTATACACCAAATATCTATTTAAATAAAAATGAATAAATACTTCATTAAATTATAATGTTAAATTAAAACTCCAATAGGAAAAGTATAAATATTGTAAACGTACTATCAAAACATTTTTGTTATCCACCGCAGTCACTGTTATTGTATTGAAGATTATAAATTTGTTAAGTGATGGTCAGCAGCATTTAATCCAATTTAGAAAGTTGCCCCGCTATTTGGTCTATTTGCTTGATGATGGTGGTCTTTTCATGAATTGCATTATAAAATATATTAACAAACAAAGTCAATTTAGTGGCAGTTGAAAATATTAGATTATTATGAATAAATTCTATAAATTTACCTTATTGTCATAAAAAAGATGATTAAGAATCTTTGTTATCATATCAAATGTCTCGTTGTTAGTTACTGCCCTTTTCCATCATCTGTAGTTGATACTAGCTACTCAATTGAATCTGTGTAATTGCAGTGTTTTTCAGCGAGCACCAAGATCATGTATGTACAATTAACCCAAAACAACAAAAAATAAAATGAATATTAGTAACTAATAAGTTATGAAACTATCTACGTCAATTAAATAGGTACCTTCTAGTGGGTCATATTATGGTAACCCAAGAAATGAATGACTTTTGTTCGATAAGTTGCAAGTATATATTTTGTCGAACTAGAAAATATCATCCATTATACTTCATTATACTCGTATCCTTACTAAAAAATATTCAATATAATTACTTTTGATAAAATATTTAATAGGTTTTGAGATGTTAAATCATTATACTATCTAAAAATATTATTGAAAATAAACCAACTTACTGAAAATGTTACTATTCTTGACGATTGTAAGAAATTAAAAGAAATTGTATTTATTAAATGTTCGTAGTAGGAAAACAATTATAATCCATCCCACAATACCATTTTATAATTTTCAGTACCACATCCAATAGTAATACTTACGTCACATGTTAGTAACATGGAAAACCAATTAACCCCTCGGTAAATTTGACATAATAATACGTAGGTAATTGCCATAATTTTTTTTAACTATGTTTATGATTTACATTGTAGAAGTAAAATAGGACAGACATATTCATAAAAACGAAAAAACTCAAGTTACATATATGACAAAATACAAATAAAGTATATTGTAATGAATAATAGTATTAATAATAAAATAGTACATCTTTTAACAATATAAATGTGTAAGCTAGCACTTACAGAAACACTTTTTAAACACTTAAATTGAATAAAAATACAAAACCACTGTGGTAAAAGTAAAAACAGTTTTAAATAATTAGTAGTTATTCATAAAAAACTTAATCTAATATAACAATTAATAATTGTATAAAAATGTTAAATGTTTTTCGTGTACAGAGTTGGTCCTCGTATTTCTAGTTTGCATGGCTAGAGTACAACATATTAGAAAATAACTCAATTAATATACTTATTAAAGAAACAAAATCCAAGGTTTGTTATCTCGGTGACGAAATTACAAATATTAAAATAAATTTCGGAAGCATAGTTTTAAATAATGACCGGATTGTTAAGGTAGATAACTTTTAAGAAAAGTGTATAGCAATATTTTTAATTGTTTATTTACATTTTTTTTTTACTTATACTAATTTTAGTGTTTGAAAACAAGGAACACTTCACAAGTATTTTACTGCCATTTTCTATCAGTATTCTTTTTGATGCTGAGATAACAAACCTCGGGGATATTTTAAGGATATCAAACAGTACCAACACCAACACCAACACCAACACCATCCATCAGTATAGTGAATGTAAGAGTGTAAATCCACTTTTAAAAAAATACAGAGATTTCAAGGCTATTTCAAATAAACACACATTCCATGAATAAATAGGTAGATAGTTATTGTCAAAATATGTAGTTAAAATTTAAAAAAAATCAATTAATGTAGCAGGCTGAAATTCGAATTGATAAGAAAATATTAATATGATAAAAGGGTGGCTGTTGTTCTTAACAAATCAAATGATACAAACACTACCTGAATTATAAAAATTTACATCCGAAAAACAAGTATAAACTTACAGGTAATCTTATGGCCATTACTTTTATTAGTGGGTTAGTCACGTTGAACTGAAATAACTTGTTTGTGAATGAAATATGAATAAAAAACCTCTCGATACATTTTTTTCATTCATATATATTTTTTCGAATCTTTTTTGACAGATTTTCGTGTAAAGTGAATTATGATGTATTCCATAGGTGAGAATTTTTAATCAATGTCCAATGTGTAACATTGTCGAAATATTTTAACATCTTCACAAATTTAATTTAATTTTAACAGCCAGTTATAATAATAATTATTAATACTTATTAATAAGTTACTTATTTATAGTCTTTAATATTCTACAGGATTAAACTACTTGATTCAAAATCTTACCTATTAGTCATCTACAATGTATATTCTACCATTAGAATCACATACATCCTGTTAGTACTCTGCACAGTTTGCTTTTGCATAGCCAACACCAGAACCAAGCTGAGGTTCTCGCAAGAAACTGTGGTGTAACAACATAAAAGTGATCTAAGCTGTGGTCTTTAATAAGTCAGGGTATACGTGGAGTTGAAATGGTTGCATTTAGTGATGGGTGGTGTGGGTGACTGGTGATGTAGTAATAGAAGACGGGTAGACATGCGTACAGAATTATTTACGTTGAATTGTTAATTATGTTTCTGTTGATTCCAGAACTTGAGCAGTGAAAACTTTGCACCCATGCTCACAGATAATAGGGTTCCAAACTGTCGGAGCTCTCGTCTACTGAAAAACCAAAAATAAATATACAATGTATTAACTAGGATATATAAAATAAAACATTTTTAATATCTAAATTAAGTAAGCTTACAAAATTCTTCTTATAACTGTGATTACCGCTTCTCATATTCATCCCTAGAAATTGTTTTTCAAGTGATTGCAATAGCAGTGGTCTTCGGGTGGAAATGCAATTGGTGTTCGTCTGGAGTCACATGTTACTTTTAGTTACAATGAAATCAACTATTGTAAAGAGTCACTGGGATGTTGATGGAAGCAGTTATTTTTAAACCATGGCCGAGGTTTAGTTACAGTTACTTATCAGCATATAAATTCAATGATATATGTTTATTCATCTTGAAGTTTACACTTAGGCAGTCGGACAAAACTAGTCTTCAACCACGTACGATGTTAAGGCGAGAAAGTCTTGGTGGATTTGGTTTTTAATTGCAGCCAAAGTCCATTTTGAGACAATGATTTCTTCTTAAATTCTAATATTAATCATTCTTAATTTTTTTTTGTATTTGATACATTGAGTGTCCATAATATTATTTTATCAACACAGTAAAATATACACATTATTTATATACATATTGTACACGTTTAATTGATAAACGAATTACTCGCCGACCATGTTTATTCACCAGTTCTTGTTGCTTCAGAAGTTGGAAAAAATTTGTTACGGAAATATATTTAATGTATATTTATGGTCGTCGAGAAAATGTGAGTTTAACGCCATCACCGGGCAAAATTAATTATTTTTAACAAAGTCATCGAATTAAAATATTGTTTTTTTCATTGATTTTATTTTCGATGAATTTAGTTTTGGTATTAAGTAGTTTAATGGATTTATAGTTAATCAAACGTGAGGAGAGGTAACCCCGTGCCTGTCTTATTTGATGACGATGGACCTCCAGAAGTCTTGGCATTCACATGCAGCACATCTATTAACCAAACAACAAACAAACGAACAATTATATATAAAATTAATTTACTTTTTGTATTTCAATATCTGTACAAAAATGTATTTAACAAGTATAAGTTAGCTCACCTTCTAGCACCGTCCACCATGGACAGGCCACAGCAGTAAATGCGACGCTCAACGCAGGTGGTGGTGGTGGGGGTTCGAGTGGCTGAGGTCTGAATTGTGGTAGCGGTAGTTGCCGATGGAATTGCTGTTGGTGACCAACGGGTTGCTGTTTTGATTGATGATATAGTTGGCGATTCGTAAAGACAGGTGTCAGTGATTGTGAATCGCAAAAATGTAAGTAACTATCGTTTACTATCCTCGCCGGTGTAGCTACTAAACCTGTAGCAAATGAACAAACATATGTTTACAACTCGATGATGTATTAATTATTTAAGTTGGTTATTATAATTTATAGTGATAACTAATAATGTTATACTTACAGTTTTGATGTGGTTGTTTACGCCGTATATCGGTGGCCATAATCTCGGTCGTCCATTCAACCATATCATCGTCTTCAGGTTCTACTGATGATTCACTCTCACAGTCATACCTGTCCCAATCAGCTACAGGGTCACCGGCGTTTCCACGTTGCGACCATTCACGGTCAGGGTCTTGGCCAAATGCCGCGGCAGCAGCAAGCACACCAATAAATTCGCCATCACTATCTTGTTCATCAGAGTTTGATTCGCCATGGTCAGAGTTTGATCCTGATCCTGAACCATCACTATTCTCGTCATCGGTAATGGTGCAGCCATTTCCTCCAGCACTAGAACTTCGACGGCGATCTACGGTTGTGATGGTCTTTCCGCTTGGCTTTTGTTTTATATTCCTATAACGTCTTCTACGCCGCTTGTTTTTAGTTCGTGTCCACCAGCCACTCGGACTCTTGTGCACGTACTGCACAAAACCCGATAAGGCCGCTTCGGCAGCACAGTAATAAGGTATTGGTGGAGGTGGTAACAGTTGAGGTTTTTGTTGATTTCTATTTTGTTGAATGACGCTACCACCACACTGATCCAATCCATCGCTCTCTGACCAGGCCCGATGTGGATGCTGCATTCTTCCAGATTTTCCTGGCGTCGATGCTACTGATGATAGTCCTCTTACACTTCCGTATCTATTCGGTTGCTGTTGTAATCGGTTTTTGTACTCATGCTGTTGTTTTCGGGAACTTTTCTTTCCATACATGCTATTATAATTATTGATCTCATGCTGTTGTTGATAGATCTGGTGATGCTGGTCTATACCACGGACATCGTCCTCCAGTTGATCGAAAACAGATGTCGAGCATGGGTCACTGAGTCGTCTCTATAGTTAACATAATTAATAAAGACTATTTCACTATCATTAACTGATAAATATTACCTGTATTATAAAAATATTTAAACCCAAATAATTTAATTAATTCTCGTTTCACAAGAAATGTGCAGTATAAAAACCAATATTGATATTTTTAGCTTAATATTTTAAATGCTTTGAATTTGCTGGCCTAACCACATAAGTTAACTAATATAAGTTTGAATATTAAAATTAAAACTACTGTATACAGTAAATTAGAAAAATTACTAGCCCAGCCACATATCGTTGCATATTAAATATGCAGTTTAGGCTCAAACTCAATTAAGAATTACCTAGTTTATATTTGTATAATTTTGACAATATATAGGCTCGTGTTTTATAGATAATTTATATGTGGTCAATTGTCTTGGAAATACATCACGTTCCAAAATCATTTCAGAAATATAGGTATTTTTTAGTGGTTGTTAATAACCATTATAGTGCATAACAATATTATTATTTCCATTATTACTATCGTAGTGGAACTATTTGTCTAAGATGACGATCTCCAATTATAATGGATAGCTATAACAATTACTCCCAGTAAAACTGACATACAATTCATATCATTTTCAATCCTAACAAGTAACGGAACTTATGAAAACAAAATATGTTTCTGCTTAATAGTTTATATTTAAGAAGTTCTAATATATTAATGAACAACGAAAGATGTATTACCGGTCTGCCGTCTTTGCGTCGTTGACGCTCAAGTTGTTGCTGTTGTTGCTGTTGATAATAATAAGATGGAGTCTGAGGTGTCTGCTGCTCGCTGCTGGCTGCCGTTTCATAATCCCACCCGTAATCATAGTAGTCGCCAGGTTCAGAAGCTGTGGCTGTTCCAGTGTAGGAATCGAGCTGCTGTTTCTGGTAACCAATCGCTGTGGAGTAATCATCGTTAGCTTGGTCATAATACGCACTGGCGGAAAAATCAGGGTCACGATCGTATCCGGTGTCACCGTAATCGTCCTCCCCATCACCACAGTACTGTTGGTGATGGAGATGGTGATGATGATGAAGGTGGTGGTGGACGTGATATTCGGAATTACCATCGACACCCGAGGAAACTGTTTCCTTTCGCTGTATTGGTGCTGTTAAAGAATTAATTACATAAAATCCACGTGATTAGCAAACATTTTGTGTTAATAAAGTAAGAAATGAGTAAGTATAAAGAAAGAATAAAGTATTGTAATTGTTATCATTATCATCATAATCATTATTGTGATGATAAGCTTTTAATGGAAATTACTACCTTACATAACCCAAAATCCTTGCACTCAGTTTATTCAATCCGATGTCATGACAAGGGCACAAGGCTGGAGTAGAAAGCAATGTATAAATAAAATAAAATTTACTGGTCTATTTAAATGTAACTAACTATTTAAAAATGAAATATTTAAGCCTTAAGGTGTATAGTCGTATAGAATTATAAAAAATGTATTGACGTTCACAATAAATGTCATAACTGGACTTATGTGTATCTCCTATGGCCTAGAAATATCAATCATTTATTGTATGACATATTATAGTGGCTTTATAAATAATCAATTTTGTCTAAAATAATTATTTACATAATACCAAATAACATTAATAATTTTAATGACCAAACAATATAAAATATAAATATTATGTTCTAAAATAATTTCAAATAAGTTTGTTATAATTTTAAAATAAATGTTTCTAATCAAATGGAGTAAGAACTACTAAAACCATGCTTTCGACTAAAATATAAATACAATTAATAATCTATATCTATGGCAATCCTGAAAAATGTATGAAATTAAACATTATAACACAGTAGCTTGGACGCCTTGGTACATAAGGTGGCTATTATACATTATTAAATATTTGTCTAACTTTTTTAGTCAAATATTTGTTCCTGTGGAAGAAATTTACTGTGCACATTGTGAACAGATAAAGTTGGGAGGAAATTTTGTTATTAAAGATATAAGTCCAAATTGTTTGTATGAGAAGAAGGAGTAACGTCTATAATCAAAGGAAACTGATCGTGTGACACTTTGATATTGATTTCTCAACTACCAACTATTGTACGCTACTACTGTACGATTTTACTAACATACACATGCATTGGCGAAACCCTGTATACGAATACAATATACATTACACAGAGATACTTAGTAAAGTATACATGTTTGGGTTATTTCTCCGCTAGTCACGGCTGATCATCCTAGCGCCACCGTCAGATCACAAAATATAGTGTCGTTTTCTGCACGGAGCGCAGGTTTTGACTCACCCGCACACTATTTCAGTAGATTGTGATCTATTAGTAGTTACTCGTACTTGAAATCCTAACATATATAGGTATACTTCTATTGAATATCAATACGCCGAGAATTACTATAATATATGCAAGTGGACTTTTATCCGTATAGAATATTAAACAAATACATAAACATTTGCATTATCCTAACATAATATTAATAAACTCGATATACCTACACACGGTTTAAATTTTCAAAGGCATGTGTCTAGTTGGAAAACATCTATAATATTTCTCATTTAAAAATATACACGGTGGTGGACGAAAATAAGTTATTGGCCAGTGCATAACTTTAAGACGACAAATATTTTGAAATCACTGATATGTCCCGACACCGTTGTTTTTCAGACATCAGACATATATTTTACCTACTAATATAAGTATGGTGCGGTAGTTGTAGAGGCACTACGTTATATACACCATATTATTGTTTTTAATTTTAAAAATAATTTTTACAAGCCATTGTTAAAATGCATGATACTAAACAATCATTTTAGATCTTCCTTCAGTTTCCACAAAAAATAATTTAAAATTTAAATCATGCGTTATACATATGGCGGGGGTGGAGGGCGGTGCCAGTGCTTGCATTCAATATGGTAAGCTCATTGCCAGAATAGCTACCTGCAGGATGGGCCGGATGTATCTAGATCTGTATGCCCCGCTATTCCCGTTATTTAAGTAAGAATCATAGTGAGAATCGTAACATGACCCCAACAGCAATAACATGATCAGCAGGACTAGTAAGGATACACCGGCAAGTGAGGTCACGTAAAGTTTCTAAAATTAATGACGAAAACGGTCAAAAAACTACTTTACAAGACAAGCCATAAAATAAAGTTTTCCTGCAAACAATGAAACAAACAAATATTGAACTAAATTTAGAACAATTTTTCCACTTAAACAAAAACAAATTTTCTGAAGTGTTTTATAAAAAGAATTAACAAACATTTATGAGAATGTTGCAAAATGGTTTAATGGTTAATGTTGATGAATAGTACAAAAGAAATTTATTGGTACATTAATATAATATTATTATTATGGGTACAGAAATAATAAATATTACATTTTATAAGGTCTATCACATAATATTAAACCTATGTAATATAATATTATATCATTAATATTAATTTTCTTTATGTTGTAATGTTATGTTTTAAAACGTATACAAAAGAATCGTATCGTAAATTAATAATAAATAAAAATAAATAAATTATTAGAAGCAAATAGTATGTGTGTTTTACTGTTTTATATGTTGTATACTTAAATGTAGTTGTGACTTAAGATTAATCATAATAATTAGAACTTTGATTTCCATGCATTGGATTTTTTTGTCGTCCGTTTCTTAACAAATACAGTGTTACCGTTACGTATCTAATTAGTTCGAATAACCATTAAATATTTATTATTATTTAGTGCCATTGAGTTAGTTGAGATACTAAGCTTAATAATATATAATAATAAATACTCAAGTGCATTGTGTATACTGTATATAAATAATAGTAGAAAAAACTACAAAGTATTGGCAACGGATTCAATCAATTGTGAGTATATAATCAAACATTATACCTATAGTGGTATAATTTTAATGTGTTGTTTAAATATACGTAAAAAAGTTTTTCTTTTTGCTAAAGTGTGTAATCAAAAAGTTACAAATATAAAAATTGAGATGATAACATTTCACTTGAAAAATATGTTATGACATATGGTACCAAGTATAATATTAACCTGGAAAACGTCATAAACAAATTGAGGCATACACCAAAATTTGGCTGAAAAATTTACTAAATGCCATGCAAATACAAAAGGGTAACTGAAATACTAAAAATGCAAAAGGTGTCTTAAAAAAATAATATCAAAAATTGGTGAAGTAAGAAATTGGGTACAGCTGGGTTCGAAAGTGTCCCAATTTTTAGATGTAACATATTCCTATACAGCAGTACAATAATTGGTACAATATATTGATAAAAGATAGCCGGTTGGGGCAGTAGGTATCTTCCATGGCTATAAGATCAAACAAATTCAGGACAAAGAATCCAAACCAGTTTTAAAAATCCATATACCATTTTAGATCGATCAGTGAGTATGTTGGAATGAAAATGCATTTTTAGCATGTACAACACTATACGATTTGAATTCCTTTAATAATAATTTAAAATGAAACATCCACCATGTGTGTACAAATGAAAAATATATAATTTATGAATTATGACTAAACGTTCATATTTTACATTACAATATTTTTCACTAAAATTGTTTTAAAACTATTCGTATAATGTATAGAGCTATATTCAATTCCTATCTTTACACATTTGGAATTCTGGGTCAAAATCGTATGTGACGAATGTTAATTTTCAGATTTTTTTTACAATCACATAAAAAAACAATTACGATAACAATAATTATAAGAATCACAAACACCGACGTTATAGCCAAAAGGTAAAAAAACGTTTACACTTACCGAGCGTGACAGCCATCTGGGCCAGGCCCTTCGTGTAGTCGTAGGGATCGTCGCCTTCGACGCTGACGTCAGTAAAGTCGAAGTCGTCGGCATCGCGATTTTCGTCGTCCGACGATAATTCACCATCGCCGCTGTCCTCGTTGTCACAACTCGGACGGCAACCGCGCACAGTCACGTACTCGATGCGATCGGCGTCGGCGACGGTAGGGTTGGTGGAAGAAGCAGAACCGTAATAGTAACCGTTATCTCCGCAGTCAGACGACGACTGTCCAGAGTCTTTGCCGCCCACGAACAGGGCCGTCAGCGAGGCGGACAGGGCGGCGCCCAAAGACGATTTCTTGCCTATCCGTTTCCGTTGCTGTTGCCGCCGCCGTTTCCTTCGTTGGCGTTCGGCTTCGCGGTACAAACTCATCTGAAAACACGCCGAGATCACGAAGTGCTAAACAGCAGGTGTCGTTACGTAACAACGTATTAAACTCAACAGTGATTCGAGGACAGTATCAAAATTGGATATTCTAATCGGCTACTGAAACTGGTATTGAAAATAATAAAAAATAAATCATAGAAAAGTATTTTTTTATTTAAAAGAAACATTTTAAATTTTGCATGTTACAATGGGTAATGATTAAAGTTTAATATCGTACTAAAAAAATATCAAACAAGTTCAGGATTTACAACGAGTATTTGAAATTATTCATTATAACGACAAAAAATCGTATAGAGATTCAGGTTCAAATCATTATACGAGTACACACATAATATAAGTATACATGTATGAGGATAATTTAGATAGGTACACCTTCTGCATGGAGAATTGACTATACATTATTCACAATTATTCCCAGTTATTATCCCCTCCCCTTACACTGAATTGGTCGTGTTAGATTCCTTATTTAAATTATATTTTGCCATGTTCAATGTATTGTGTACCTATGTTGTCTACAGACATTTAACACTCCAGAGTATGATTACAATTATAACGAAATTTTAAGAAAAATAACTATTTAACTACTTAGAGGAGTTTTTACACTAAACATTAGGGCGTAATGGTAAGTCAGTTACCTTGCACTCATATGCTGCGCGCACCGCGGCGTAAGGGACGGCGCCGGTGAACAGAACCGCTCTGTTTAGATTCTGTTGCACTTTGACGGGCACGGATTTTTGACGACCGTACAGATTGAAATTGCTGCCATCTATATCGTACTCATCGTCGTCGTTGTCGTCTTCGATGTCGTTATGGAGGTATTCTTCGACGACGGTGGCCGGACCTGGCCAAGTGGCCACCAGCTCGACGCACACTGTCTGTCCAGGACGAACGACCACCGTGCGGAATGCCTGCGTTACATTATTTAATTTTATTGGTGACCATACCCCTTTAATAATTATACCAATCATAAGAGTATGACAATTAATAAAATCTGAGATCACTATAATAATATTGATGTTCGAATTTCAAAATATTTTAAATACTATTTTTTTCTAATAAAAATGTTATTAAATTGTAATAAACTATTATGCAGAGAATCATATTTCTAAAAAAAGTTCGGAAAAAATAAACCTAACGTAAAATTGAATTCACTGTAGCAAAATACGTAATTCACAGAGCTCTTTTCTGCATAACCAATGATGACTAATGTCGACTGCCAACGATGTCGGTGTTAAATGTCAAAGTAGTTGGAAAACATGTTAAGTACATCAAATTATTATATAATATTATATATACCGTATTATATACAGAAATTAACGATTTGTTTTGACTTTCGACGAATGAAAAATAATTTTTATCATTTACCTACAATATATCACTGAATTAAAATAATTGGCTTTTTCATCATTTTCGTTGTTTCAACAAACAGTCATTTAAATAAAAATGAAAAAATATTGACCGAGTTGACTAAGAAACGTATTGACTGTTCTAGTAATGAATTTATGTTAAAAACAAAAATATTAGAAAGTCAAAAAATTAAACGTTCACGGTTGTGAGGCACCATATCTATCTGGTATCACTGGTATCTGTGACAAAATTATACACTCCGGAAGATTACTCTACAGTGTAGAGTCTGCACAGTAATAATATTATATAGTACCCACCTCAGCGAAATCGTCGACTGCCCAACACACGGCGGGGTACACCGGCCGTTCTCTAGGTCCCTTAGCCGCGTCCATACGCCGGCCACTTGTTGATGCGTACACTGTCTGCTCGTTTCAACATCGTGAACAAAGAGGAAAACAACCAACAACAACAAAAATGAATTAGAAAATAAGAATATCGATTGTTTTCAAAATAAAGCAGATAGTCTGGAGACACTGAACTCACGTGTACGTGGCGGGACAGCAGCTGCAGGTCGTATTCGCAGTCTTCCTGCCCGTCGGCTGAGACGAATTCTCGCGATCCGTCAAAGCCACTGAAACAGGCAGGGGCAGCTGCCTTTCTGGGCACACGCGCACACACGGCCACTGTGAGCGTGTACCGCAGCCGATGGACGATGGCGTTCAGGCACACCGTGTGCCTCCACAGGACCGCCGGATCGCCGATCGGCAACATGGTCGGCTTTTGCTGCTGTTGTTGCTGCTGCTGTTGGTTGTGCTGTTGTTTTCGGTAAGCCCGGGTGTCGTAAGTGACCTATACGCCAAGGCGGGTGGGTAAAGAAAAGTCGAAAATATAAATAATAATATCTTTTAAGCTATAATATTGCACTAAGTATAGCGTATTGTTCCCATTAATACATATTCCATCGGTATGGATAGCACTAAACTTGTTATCGAGTTGGATTGACATTGCACCGAACACATCGACGTTTGATGACAATACTGTATGGTATAAGAGTAAAGGGTACCTTCTTCAAAGATTCAAATTTATTGAGTTAACAGAGTATCAAAAATAGACAGGACAGCTGATTGAGCTTAAGAATATTAAGGAATTTGTGACTCTTAGTCTGTTAAGGTAACACAATTTAGCACTGAACTTTATCAATCCCAACACTTTGTGGAAGTCAATTTGTATAATAATATATTAAAGTCTATTAATTATAACCTACACAACTTTGCTTTGGAATCCGAAATTATAAAATAGATGTGGATGTGTATTAGCCTGATATTAGGTAAATATTAGGTACAAAATGTATATGCATCCTTACCCGTCGCCGACGTTGTGAAGACAGTCGGCGTTTAATGCACTTGCGTTTATTTCGCCGGCGCCGCACGAAAAACAGCAAATCATCTGAGTCGGCTGTGGTGGCGGTCCTCGTGCAGTCCTCGTCGAACACAAAGTATCGGAGGAACACGTCGGTCCACCAATACGCCGAGGCCGCCTCGTCGTCGAGCTCAGATCCGGTGGAAGTTACTCCAGTTTTAGTCAGTGCTCCTTCTAAAATGAAACCATACGCATTACAAGACGTATAAATTAACGAAAATGAAAATGTAAACTTTAAAAAACCCGCGAACTAGGCAGGACCGTAATAATAAATGGTTATGGGTCGGCAAGTCGTCTATAATTGTTGTGATTTTGTATTGTGTTACAAGACGTACTAAAAATCAATTAAAATAGCAGTTGATTACATAAGAAAATATTTGATATTATAAGAAAACAACGAACAATAATCGATGACCACTCGCATTACCATTTTGGTATGTCTACTCGCATACCCCGACACCGATATTCGAATGTCAAAATAAAAAACAAAAGAGAACATCAATGAATTGTTTATAAGTTCAAATTTATGAGGTAACTATCGTATAACGATAGTATTTTATACTTTTCAAGTATGTATAACGATTATGGTTAATTTTTTTTTCTATATATAAAACCGAAAACAAAGAGTAGTCGTTTTTAATTCTTTTTAATGATGTATTATTAATATTATACACAAGTTTCATTCGTTCGATTTATATAGCCTAATAATAAACTCCTAGTCAAACTCTTTAATAAGTGGGCTGTGAATTTAATGCACTAAAGACCTTGAAAAATGTCAAAAAATATAGTATAAAATTCATTTAAAATGATTTTTAATTTATTATAATTCATATTAATATTACGTACAGGATATTATACATTAGTACATTACATGCATAAAAAGTGTTTATTTAATAAAAAAAAAAATAGCAAGAATGTTGATTGAATTTTAATTTTCTATACTTAATGCTATTCACCTAAAAATTTAAAAAAAAAATTTAGAAATAAAGAACTTACATATAACTTGTAGTTATCTAGCAATTGCCTAATTTTATCTCGACTTACATAGTATATATATATATATATACACAGCCTGTGTACTAAAACAAATTTCTTTTTCAAACATTTTTTCCGTCAATTGACTATACTGGAAAATTAATTAAAAAAGACCTACAAATGCACAAAAAAGACCTAAACAATTAAAAATGTCAAAAAATGCCAAATAAAAGTTGCATAAACGGATTTGTAGTTACATAATTAAAATTATGTACTTACAAAGCTACGTTCCACAATCACCAAAAAATAAAATGCACTTTTCTACAAACTCACAGCCTAATTAATAAGCAATGTCGAAATAATTGACGATGTTTCAATACGTCCAATTGTTATATTTGCACAGTCTATGTTGATCGTTATCCTGCAAGTCTGACATGGATTGCCGAACAATATTCCTATGCCCACCAACTATTGGGTTAACCGTTAACGAGTAAAAAATTGGGTGGAATACCCACAGCTGATCTTGTAAAATAAATAACATTATAATATAATGTAAAACATTTACCTGTGGCTGAAGTTGCAGCTTGACGTTGGCCGTCTTCACGGCGTCGTCGACTTTGCCGGCCGCCAGCGGCCACACGTTGCCGCTCCCTCTCCCGCTGGAAAGCGATGTCCGCCAGCAGACGGTCAACGGAAGAAAAAGCGGCTGTGGTCGTAGTACGCTGACTGCCGGCGCCGTCCACGAGCAAGGCGGACGGCCGGCGCCTGGCGAACGCGGGTGACGTGGACGTCTGCATAGCGACGTCCGCGAATTCGGCGCGTGTAGTATTGCCGACGGTCGGTGTTGTCTCGTCAGTCGGCGATGGTGTTTGTTGTTTGTAGTGGTTTGTAGTGGTTGTGGTGATTTGTGATGATTTGTGGTGATTTGTGGTGATTTGTGGTGATTTGTGGTGGTTGTAGTTGTTGTTGGTGGTTGTGGTATTGTTTTAGGCAATTACGGATGGTGACGATGTTGTTGCTTGTCACCGACGGATAAGTGGCGGCGTCTGGTTGTCGCGTGCTCGGATGTTGGTAGCGGTGGTGGTGGTGGTGGCGTCAAGTTGTCGCTACCGTTTCTGCTACTGCCGCCGCCGCCGTCTCCGTCGCCGTAATATCTATACGTACACGGAAGAACATTTCGGTTATTTAATATTTCTATTTTCGATATGCCGTCACTCCGACCAAGCCGAAGTTTCAATAAACCATGCAAACATAATGCAATATAAAATAAACCAAGAATGCATAACATTATTAATTGTCGGGTAAAGTCGGTACAAGGTTCATTCATTCGCTTTTAAATAAAAATAAAAATAATGTAAAAAATACGATCAACGATATAACCGCTAACCGGTTGCGGTAAATCGTGATAAAAAAATAAAATATTTTATATAAGCCTAATATTTATATGCATGCTTTCTTTTTTTGAAAGGTTCTTTTACAAACTTGGTTAGTAGTGTCCATGAAACACCCCATGCAGTGATACAAACTATATTTTTATTAGATTTATTGCATATCTTTTACTAATATATTAAGAGTAACTCCATGATGCATATTTTATTATATTGTTTTAACTACTAATGCAAACATTAAAACTTAGAAGTGCATATTTTGTGGCATTCCAGGTATATTTTTGAACGAAAGTATAATAATGTTAAGAATAGATTCCGTGTCATATTACTGTGACAATTATTTAAATTTCATAGAATCGCTGAATTTGTCTCTGAGAAAAACAATTTAAAAATCGATTAAAAATGATATGTAAAAATTATTAAGCATATAGAGAGGTACATAAAAAAATACCTATCTTCTGTTTTCTTATTTTATAAATTTTAAAATTAAAATAAACTTTACTTTTACTTAGGTAATGTCTGTTTGGAAATAATTGGTCATTTCATTGCACATCTAACTATTTTATCGCAAACCGAATAAACTGAATAAAGAAAAACCAAGTCCTAGCACAAATAATAATTTTTATAAAATACAGCTACTCAAAAACGAGCACTCGTAATGTCCAAAATAATTTATGATACAAAATAAAAATATAGCAGTCCAAGCTTAAAAAAAAAAAAGAAAAGAAAAACAAATATACTATTGTTATAAAGTTATGCTTGTGTGTATAGTATCTAATATAGTGGGTTGTATGTGTGTTGAAAAACGCAAATTCACGTGCGTAAAATAGTGAAAATCGTTTGATTATAAAAATGATTCTGACGACGTCTTGTACATAGAGATTCAATAATTTAAGTCTAATGGTCGTGATGATGTAGGCATAACTTCACTTAATAAGTCATATATTTAGTAAATATTATTCATATTTTATTATTAACAATTATTAACGTGCATGTGATAACACCATTGCTCACTGAAAACAACATTGTGTAAATTATATGCAATTCTAATAAATACGCACCTACCATCATCTGTGTCGGGAATCATGTTTTGAATTATCTTTCATCTTTTCCAAATAAATTGAACTGTAGATTGTAGATACGCGATTTTTTTCAGATTAAAATAATTTAAGAAAAGATTTATTTTGAAAAACCCTACGAAATTTAAAATGCTTTATTTTAATAGAAACAAATGATTTATATTGTACAATTTCTAATTTAATTATTTATAAACACAATAATTATGATATTTCTTTTTACAATTCGATAGTAGAATAGTTAAAAAAAGAAACCATGTAGGAAATGCACAAGACCAGTTTATGAATACGATAATATTTTACCAGTATAATTTAAATAAGTATTACTATCTAGCACCTACGTATTATAATAGATTACTGAAATATTGTTATTCAAATTGTAATTACTATTATATATTTATATGAGACTATATTCAATTCCTTAATTTTAGCACACTAAACTTAGTATTAATCGAATATAAAATAAATGTCAGATTTTAATTCCAAACAGTATTTATTTAATAGAATGAGATCATAAAACGTACGAATCATTGAAAAATATGATTTCATTTGTTTAAGCTAATTGAGTGAAGAAATGTTTTTATACAAAAAATGTGGAAGTATTAAATTAAGTTTATTTTTTTTTAATTTATACATAATATTATAAGTACCTACCTAGTAATTGTAATTATAAATACCTATTGAGTTTTACATACATTAAAATTATGCTTATAATTAATATATAAAGTAAATTGACTTCGCATTTTTTTTAGTACCTAGTCTATAAGTTATTATAATTTGTACAACTAAAGTAAAATGTATATTTTAAAAAGTTTCCAAAATATCATATTTACAGCTAATATTTTAGATAAACTTAAAGTTTGTTGAAAATACAGTGGTGCAATATTTATCTTACAACTAAAGCTTGAAGTTGTATGTAGGTAGACAGAGTAAATAGGAACAAACACAAATGTAATAAATACAAAAATGTAAATACAAGATATTAACAAATACAAAAAATGTACATAGACATTTGAAGTTCAAAATTTGACGAGATAAGATAACGAAAATTTACAATCTTTCTCTCCAACAATTGAAGTCATAGTTTGTTGAAATTCAAAAAATGTTAGCACCAAATGTTAATCATATAAATGAGGATAACAACTCAAAACAATCATTAAATATGTAAACATTATATTACAATATAGATAACGACTAACATTCAAATATATGTAAATACATGCGAAACAAAGTGTTTGACTTATACTCGAATGGGAATAAGATTAAAATAACATTATTAATATATACATGGACAATTTGGTAACCTAATACGATATTGGTGCAACGATATAATAGGCCAACTAGATAATGATTTTATTTTCAAAGGCCTAACACGTAATAGAAAATCATTTCATAAATTCGTCCGTTATTATTGAACAGGTATCGGACGATTCACCGCAGACGACGAGACGGCGAATAACACAAAAATAATATTAATATATTATAAAAATTAAAAATACATCTCTGCAAAAACCGACTGGACGATCAAAGAAATAGAAATAATGGTGGCAATCAACAAGGAAAAAATTATTATGAAATACAATTCATGCGAATAATATTGTGATGAATAAAAACGTACGCCGAGTTGGTGTTTACTTCCGATTTCCACCGACGTCTTCTGGTCGCACACACACGCGTACGCCCGCACACATACACAATAAATGCACACTCACAAACACTGTCCCGATCGATAAAATAATATTTAATTGCGACGACGACAACTAATTATTATATTAAAACAAAACGGTTTCGGGGATGATGAAAGTAGTTATAATTATTAAAATGATTCACGACCATCACACGGTTCGCTTATAGGTACCTACCTATTGTGCTGGTACGGACGTGTCGTGTGACTATAAGAAATTAAGATTATTTTATTGTGATTTGTCAACAATAAATATTATATCGATATCCTCCGACTCACACGCAGCACGCACAAACACCAATCACAAGTATAATGCAATAACACGGTAATTATTTTAAAATTTACGTAAATCGCGTGATTTTTTGCCCGCACAACACCAAAAAAAGCAACAACTGACAACCGTCGAGGAGACACGTCGTCTACTGCCGCCGGACGGACGCTAGACAGTATGATAACAGGAACAACCGCCGGCGGCGGCGAAATATCGATCGGGCGGGCTGCCGCCGACGCTGCGCAAGGGTGGTGAGAGTTCATGATAAAAAAAAATTATTATTATTATGTACCGTCGACGAGCTTTCCTCTACCTCCCGATGTGTTCCACAGATGGCGTGAATGTATTGGGAATCGTATTATATTTTTATTATACGACTAAATATTCCTATAAATTACGACTTAGGCATATTTTTGATATTTCTATGTACATATTATTATTTATTATTACTTATATTAACATTATATTACGAGTATTACTTATATAATATATTAGTATTATATTATTACTTATATTAATATTATATTATTCCGTATATTAATATTATAATATTATAACGAATGAGGTAAGGTATTTCAATCCGCGGTTGGAAGCCACGTGGTTGTCGGAACCAAAGGGCAATGAGATCAATAATAAACTGCCGAGTGAAAGTCACTATAAATTATTCTTATGGAAAAAAAAAATATTGTACAGCCATAATATTCATTTTTTTATCACAATTAAAACAAATATTTCTCCTCAAACAATTTATGTTTTGTTGTAATTAAAAAAAAAATATTTATCATGGAAATTTGAAAGATTCTATCATTACTTAAATTATTATTATTTTCTATAGGTACACCATAGAATTTTCAAAATATTGGACTAATTTCAAGCAATTAATAAGTATTTGAAATTTATAAGACATTTTATTTTTTGTTTATATACGTGTAGATAACTTTATATAAATATGTGATGAATTTGTATGCTCAAAAAAATGTTTTTAAATTTTATACAATGTGATCCCTTAAAATTAAAAAATACCGAAAATATACAAGCACAGGTTTATTTCATAAGTGTTTAAAATGCGAATTTCAAAAATATTTTTGAAGAAATACGTCAATTACCACAAAACTGTGCAACGTATTTTTTAGTTAGAAATTACAATTTTTTCAATTTTTATGAGCTTAACATTTGATTACAAAGTTCTTAAAAAGTTGTTATTACAGAAACTTAAAATCCGCATACATATAATTGTACAATTATTTCTTTTTATAAATATTTCAAGTTCAAAATAATGTCAACAAAATTGTACATATTTAGACGGAAAATTTAGCAATATCGTTGCCCTTCATATAATACTATATTATTATCTATAATTATTTGATATTTTTAGATTTTGCTCACGTTTATTATTATTTAATAAACACAATGAGTTTTTAAAAATATTTATATTAATTTTATTATAAGCTATATTTATATGATATAAATCTATTTACCATTTACACCATTCGACGGTAGGTTATTGGTCGCATACTGGTAATTGAATAAGGTAATAAGTAATAAAAGTTTTTAATATTATACATTTATACAAAACAATATTATAATGGTAAATTATCATGTAATAAATTCGATTTTGCAACAATTAGTTCACCTTATAGGTACTAAATACTATTAACAATATTATTTATCAACATTATTTTTAAAAATATCGTACTAGATCGTCTTCTTACTGCAGATTCTTTTTTTTCTTATAAATATATCTACAATAATTCATTGTTAATTTCTAATTTAACACTTAGGTATAATGCACACGACAGTTATATACTCAGTGATGACATTATATAAACACTTGACATCTATATTACACAGCAAAGCAACATCTCCAGTTTTTTTTTTTAATTTTAAATTTATTTTATACGTAGTTTATTTATGCTTTGTGCAGATTTGTGATTTAAAATACATTTGATAGTGCTATACCTATATTACTTATATTCCTATTTATTCATATTACATTTTTGGAGCGGATGGTATTTATGGATGGATTTATTCGGCCTGTGTGCTATACGAAAATTAAATACTCAAAAATATAGAAATAATATTGGCTGTACATTTTAAGTTTTTAATATTTATTTACATACCGAAAATTGGTATTGGGGTGCTAACAAGGTATTGGTCCAAATATACATATGATAATAGAAGTTAAAAAAAATATAGGTTTTTGACATTAAACAGAGATGTAGGTAAATAAGTGTATGTAGATATACAAACTATAAATTATGTATAGGTAGGAATTATATTATTTATGTATCGGTGATTATAGAATATGATCACAATTTAAACTAGTTAAAAACGGCATAGTAATAATTGTTTTTATAAATCTTGATGTTTATACATTTATGATAATATTTTTTAAGTATAGGCGTAATCCAGTATAATGTGTATAGGAACGCGAAACAAAATCTTTGGGAATATTTTAGAATAATCAAAAATAAATATGAATATAATTATATATACGAGAGTGCCTACTGTTTTGTTTTAAAGTATGGTATTTATGTTGTAAAACTTATTAACCGACTTAATAGGAACATTAAAACAGATTTCAATTAATTTCAATTAATTAAATATAAATACCTAGCAACTATTTTACATTTCATATTAATTATTAGCAGAGAATGAGACATTTTAAACACGGAAGTGTAAATTAATAAATTAAAAATATTTAAATAGGTTGTTTATATTAGTGTATTTAGTCTTTAATTATTTGTAAATTAGTGCAAAGTAAATCTAATAAAGAAACTACAATAAATAATTTAAATTAAAAATTTGGTTTTTTTATTTGATATAATTTATTTATCATGAGTCCATGCATATTTTTATACAATAAGTAAATTTAAAAATACTTCTTTATGTGTTTCATGACATTATAAGTTACATTACCTATTTTAGTATATATTCATCAATAAATGTTGATATTGAAATTTGTATGGTTAATATTGTTGGTTAATAGCTATAAGCACATATTCCTGTGGACAGCGATGTAATTAAATTAAATTTGGTCGTAGGCGTAGTTTATAATCAAACCTAATTAAACAGTGTTGTATAAAATAATATGTGAAGATAGTATCAATAATTTATGATGATACCTTTATTATGAATACAAATTTGTGCGTTGTGTAAAATCAATTTTAGATTTTCGTTTATATCTGAAAACAGTAAGTTTTTTTTATGTTTTTATATATTCCATACATATCAGAGAGTTTAGGGTCGAATGAAGGAATGTTGAACAATATTTTACCTCAGTGGTAAAAAGGACATTTTGTGGTTGTTTATTTTATAGGTACCTATTTATATATTTATTTACATTTTTATATTTCTAACGTTTCATTATTTTCGTTTACTTATATATAAATACGATAAGTTTTTTTTATATTTTTATTTATTTCATATGTACCAGCGCGTTTAGGGTCGAGTGAAGGAATGTTATTGTATTTTATCTCTTTGTTAAAAAGGACTTTTATAATGGTTTATTTCTTGGTATGTACGATACCTTTTTATATTTCTAACGTTTTACCATTTCATTAATATTCTCTTGATATACTGTGGTCTGCGTTCCAAGTGCGGACCAAGATAAACAGGTCTGGAAACAACTAAATATCCCTACAAAAAACCCAATTGACTCAAGAAAGATACACATCGATTCTTGGCGCACTCTGACAGTCGATATATTAGACATTTAATTTTAGTGATAGTATACCCGTGGTGGTTTTGGAGGCGAGGCAAGTGAGGCACCGTCTCACTTGTAATTTCAAAAAATTAAAAAAATGTTTGTTTACTTTACTTTGGTTCATATTATTTTGAATTTTTTTCGTTTCAGTTTGAAATATTTAATTTTTTTTTTTTGTACAGAACTCGAGGATGGCTGCGTGTCGCTGCAACGTTATAACATGAGCTATGTAGTCGTTTAATACTGAGCTCGGCGCCGCCACCGCTAGATGCTCAACACTCGACAGAGGCAGTAGCCGCTGCTGCCTACGTTTATGCATGGGAGAGGGGTCTATACGTACACACGTGCAAACACGTAAAATATTATAAAAAGCACATGAAAAAAACTCCAATTGAGGCAACTAAATTCTGTCGCCTTTAAACGTTGGCCCCCGGGACAGCCCGGGTACAAGGTAAACTCTGATAGATCACTGATACCCGGGCACTCTCGACACGGCCGTCGCTCGTCTGTCAGTGAAATTATATTGAATTTAAAAAAATACTTTAGCATATTATATTTGTGTTCTGCTTTAGAGTAATAATTTATTGAATGTTTGGTCGCCTCGTGTAAAAATACATGTCAAAACCGCCACTGTACTATACTTTTTCAAAATTTGAGATAAATTATAAGCAATAAACACGGATGTACACTATTACTCGCAAACAGTATATATCCGTGGCAACAAGCAAATAACAATAAAATAAAAATGTAAATAAGTATTTAATGTATAGAATGACATAGAATTTAAAATCGAGCAATTTCCACTTGTGGAGGCTGCAGTATGGAATAGACAGCCAACATTTTGTGTACTTAAAGAATAGTTGGTGTTCGAATCTATTGCTTACCCCACAGGCCACTGCAGCACCAACAACAATTGCTGTGTAATTAAAAAAAAAAACTTATATAAAGAATTTTTTGGATTTTTTCCATGCTTGTACATGATGAAAAAATAGTTATACATTTGTAGACAAAAATTTACATTTAAGTAAATTTAGCAAAATGCTATGAATTGAAATTAATTGGTGATTTTTAAACATTTTGTCGTAATATAGATGGTGCTCGAGATCGATGTGTACGATTAACTAGACAATTGCGGAAACGAAATATTCTGAAATAGTGAAATACTGAAATGTAATAAAATTATAACTTAAACTGTTTAACTCGTCAGTGCCCAGCTTTGTTGTTAAGTAACATATTATCCACAGTTATTATAAAGGAAAACGAATATGGAAAGTAAAAATAAAATAGTACAAACGGAATACGAAACGACACGAAAGGATCTGTATTTTACTTTATTATATTATAGGGAGATGTTTATTAATATAAAAAAATCAATGACAATAGCACAGTTATTGGTAGATAGGTACCCGACACCGATAGTGAGGACGACGACCGGAAAAATCGGCAGT